ATGGCCCGCAGACGTATCAAGAAAAGGAGCGCAGCTCACGGCTGTGGGCCCACACGAGCGTCGCTGCAGGCAGGCGGGACGATGGTCGCTTCCGCTAGTATCGCTGCTGCTGTCTCTGCTGGCATCGCTGCCGCTGTCCCTCTCGGCTGTCGCCGCCACCACCATGACCAGCAGCGGCGGCAGTGGGAAGCAACGGCCGCAGGTATTGACCTTCTGCGCAGAAGGAGGCCACTGCGGGTCAAGAAGGTCATCGGAACCGCTCTTCCTGGCGCCTTCCTTGGAGGTGCCAGGAGACGACTCTGGACTTGCTCTGCTACGATCGAAGTTTACCGCACGCTTCACATGCGTGAGACATGAGATGTCGGAGGTCCGAGCGGCTCTGTGTCGTCTGCGCCAGAAGCCACCTCCCTGGCGGTGCCTCCGGCGCCGATCCAAGAGAGCCGCCGCGGAGCCCCGAGGGTTTGTGTCTGCGCAGTGCCTGCAGTGCTGCCCTTTTTATCCTGCGTGCGTGCATCCCCAGGCTCGCGACAGCGTGTGCGTTGCCTGTCTGCGGCCCCAGGGCTCTGCGGCCGATGCCTCGGGGGCAGCTTCGCGCCCTTTTTTTATCCACTCGTGGCAGGTGGTGGCCGGGGGGGCACGAAGGCAGCCCCCCGAGAGGCCGAGATGGAGGAAGATCGGAAGGCAGGGCAAGGTCCGATCGCGCGCGGAGGGCGCAGGCGCCCAGGCGGCGTTGGAGACTATGCAGCGGAGCACACCCCTCCGAAGAACGAACGCTGCAGGCAAGCTGCTGCGAGGTCATGAGGTCGACGAGACCGCCTTCGAGACTTCGAGCCCTGCCAAGTCCAACGCTCGGGTATCATGGCATGTTTCTCGCAATGGCGTGGCACATCTGCTGCTCAGATACTGGCTTGGCTGATTAAGATCGTCAGGAAGGACAAGCACACATCACTGGTCGGTGTTCGCACGACGAGGTGACTGACCACTGCTGCAGTTCCGTGGAGGGTGGCGACTCGAGGGCCCTCTCCCAGACGAGCCAGAATGGGAGGGCTGCTGCCGTTGCTCCCATCGGCCCAGCTGCCTCGAGAAGCCCGTTTTGGAACGCAGCGCGTGCCGTGCTCAGGACGTCCGCGCCAATACGCTGCGTGTTGGCTCCGCGCATCGGCCCCCGTTTTGGCGAGCGCATCGCGCCAGGCCTACGTTCTCAGTCTGCGTGCTGAGCTCCGTATCAGTGCGCTGCGTGCTGCGTGTTGCGCACCGGGGCAGCCACGAGCCCATCAGCCAGCGAGGGCTCCGAAGGAGGGCCCCGCCTCCCTGGGAGACCGTCGAGGCATCTCGAGGACCTCGAGGCATCTCGAGGCATCTCGAGGTCCTCAAGGTCACAGAGTCGTCCGAGGACCTCGACCCAGACGCGCGACGTCCTGATTTTTTCAGGACGGCGTCCCCGGAAGTCCAGACCCTTTCCCCGGGGGCCGGCTGTTCATCCCGAGTCGTTTTTGGACGGTCCCGAGGCCCGGTGAGGGCCCCCAGATGCCGAAAGTGGCGAAAAACTTGCCGTCCTAATGTTTGTACGACGCGATCATGTCTGGGGAGGCATCTCGAGGTCCACGGACGTCGCCGCCGGCTCCCCTGCGCTTCCCAGGCCCCGGGGTGCCTCCCTCGCCGAGAGCGCTCCGAAAAAAAGGGGGGCTCGGAGCGCCCAGACGGCCGCCGGAGGCCCTTCAAGGGCCCGATGGTTGGGCAGCGCTTGGTAGGAGGGGCGACAAGTGGCGTGGGGGGGGGGGGGGAGAAACCCAGACCTCCTCGCTTTGGGGGGGGGGACACGACGGGAGGTTTTTCGTTATTTTCGGCCTCCGGGAGCCCTTCCAGGGCCTCGGGACCGTCAGAAAACGGTTCAGGATGAAAAACCAGTCTCGGGGAAAGGGTCCAGACCTCTTGGGGTCGACGTTGCAAAATGAAATCACGGCGTTGGGGGTCTGGGAGGGTCCCCAGCACGCGAGGCCCAAGGTAACCACCCGGAACCTAGACCCAGGCGTTGAGGAACAAAGCGGCGGCCAGTGCTGCAGTGTTTTCGACCACCTCTGGGGGGCCGCTTCCCGTCCCCAGGGGCAGTTCACAGACCGCCTCGGGGCTGGAAAGCGGGCCCCGGGGGGGGAGCCCGTCGAGATCCTGGGGGCCGACGTCGCGAGAAGCTGCGCAGAGGTCCCTGGAGGCCGTGCCAGCACGCGGGGTGGCTAATATCCGGAGTGAGGAGGAGGAGTGAGGAGGAGGAGGAGGAGGAGGAGGAGGAGGAGGAGGAGGAGGAGTGATTCGCCACGGCGACGACCGTGGCCGCACGCGGCGTGGCTTGACGCCTGAGTATCAGCGCTCCACACCGGCAAGCACTCCCCATCGGCTGGCACTCTTGACCCAGGAGTTGGCCATGGGACCCCCGGCACCAGTGCCAGGAGGAGGAGGAGGAGGAGGAGGAGGAGGAGGAGGAGGAGGAGGAGGAGGAGGAGGACCTCCACACCCAGGCATCCGACGACGTGTTTGTTTGATCATCCCTCTTCTCCTACTCGCTCTCTTGCACGCCGGATAACTTGCCGATTGGTGCCCCCGATCAGCCCCACGCTGGTGCGGATCGCCTCTGCCTCGCCGCCGACGACAAGAGTCGTTTCTGATCCGCGCCCCCAAGAGGTGCCGACCTTCTCCTCGGGAGTGTCGCTCTCCGTCCCGGATCCGTTTCCGACTGTCCCCCGGGGCCCTCCAGCAGCCGAGGTCGAGGCACAGCGCAAGGACCCAATAGGTCGGATGCCGGGGGTGGAGGTGTGGCCTATTCGTGCCACATCTCTGGCCTCCAGCGGCCGCAGCTGCTGAACCTCACCCCCTGGCTGGCACACCTCCCAGAGCCGACAGGCGACTGAACAGGTCGGATGTCGGGGTGGAGAGGCCGCAGCTGCTGAACATCACCCCCAGGCTGGCACACCTCCCGGCGAGCCGACGGCGACGCCCGAAAGCCACGAAGCCTGAGCCGCGAGACCAGCACCTGTGCCAATTCCACGCGGCCTGGTTCCAGAGCGGCGCCACGGGGCGGAGCTTCTGGCTCCTCCTCCTCCTCCTCCTCCTCCTCCTCCTCCTGCCCCTCCAGTTCGGTGGGGTGCCCTGTCGCGGCCCCGGGCGGAGTGTCGGGAGCTCCGCCCCAGGGTAACACATGCCCCCTCTGAGGGGCACCCCGCCGAGTGAGACCTGCGAGTCTCTTCCCCCTGGGGCTGCTCTAATCTAATCTAAGCTCCTCCTCCTCCTCCTCCTCCTCCTCCTCTTCCTCCTCCTGCCCCTCCTCCTCTTCCTCCTCCTGCCTCAGAGGCTCCGGCCCGCTCCCCGCCGGGGGGCGCCCCCTCGGATGCCAGAGCCTCGCGGGGGGCAGCGCCCGCCCTGCGGAGCCGGGGCGGAGGCGGAGGGCCGCCGCCGAGGCGCTGCGGGCGACCCCGGCAGGAGCCCCGGAGGGGAGGAGGTCTCGACGCTTGCACCGGGCGCGTTTCCACTGCTCGCAAAGTGCCTACTCGCAAACGTCCGAACAAAAGCATGTGTTCCTCCATGAACCCTGAGATCCTGGCGTTGCAATTTTTCTGCAACGGGCATTTTCGCTCGATTTCGGGCTCTGGGACCCTCACAGATCGATCGGGCTCGAAAAATGACGCAGAAAGATGAGGTCTGGGGCTCCGGACGTGACTTTTGCGATGCTGCATTTTTTTTGCAACGTCGGATCTCAGGGTTAATGTATCGTGAGCTCCCCGCGGCGGATCCAGGCCATTTGCGAGCCGCTACTTTTTGGGAGCAGTGGAGCTCGCTGGTCCACATAGGTCCTCTGAGATCCTGGCGCTGGTCCCCATACTTAGGCCCGAGCGTTCTCGCCCGAGCTGGGGCCCCGGGGCCCTCACGGATCGACGCGGCTCGAAACATATATGCAGGATCTGTTCCCAGGTTCTCAGGGTTCTTGACAAGAGGATCTCAGGGTTCTTGACAAGGGATCTTGCGCCACAGGGATCTTGACAAGACGTTCTCAGGGTTCTTGCGCCACGGCGGATCTCAGGGTTCTTGACAAGAGGATCTGTTCCCAGGTTTTCAGATGTTCCTTCTGTTCGGCGCGGACTCCGGGGACGAGGGCCGATGGAAACTTTGGAAAGCCTAGGTTAGAGGGCACCTTGAACCAATCCCATCATGACATCACTCCCGTCCCACTCCTGGAAGGCCCTCGTGGCCGACCTCGAGAGGTGTCTGGCGACTCGTCTTGAGCAGGCCTTGGCCCTGGGTAGGGCGGGGGGGGGGGCAGCTTTCTCAGAAGGCTGGGTGTCCAGGTTAATCAAGTCAGGCCTGTCCCTCTACAGGAGGAATATTCAAAAATAGTTAAAAATAGTCTATGGACGATTTGTTGAATATTTTTTGGTCATTTTGGAGTCTGTTTAGCTCATTTGCATTTTTACTTCAAAATCCGCCTCTAGGGGACACGCCCGACCTAAGACCAGGGGCTTCTGGCCTCGTGCCCTTCTGTGTTCTCCTCGCCTCGTTGCGTCTTCCCGGCGGCATTGTACCTTGGCTTTCTCTCTGAGGCAGCGCGTGGCGTCGAGAGATCTCGCTCCTCCGTCTCACGCTGCGGCGCAGCATGGCTGCGGTGATATGCAGTGCTCGAAGTTGGAAGTACCATGTTTGTGGTTCGTGCCGCGAAAAAACTTGGGAGGGGCCAGGGGCCTCGAGGGAGGCTTCTTGAAACCAGGTGGGGGCTTCTCAGAAGCCCCCTGCCTTCGTAGGGAGCACCCCCTAATCGGCCACCCTCCCCCGTGCGGGCTGCCAAAGGATCCCCCTGGGCCTCCGGCGCGCCCCGCCAGGGTGCCCATCTCGTCGGCTTCTTCGCTCAAGATGGCTCAGGATATCCTCCAAGATGTCTCCAAGACGGCCAAGATGGCCTCCAAGACGACTAAGATGGCCTCAAGACGTCTCCGAGACGGTCCAAGATGCACCCAAGACGGCCTAAGATAGCCTCAAGATGGCCCAAGACAGCCTAAGAGGCCCTCAGGAGGCCTCCAAGACGGCCCAAGACGGCCCAAGAGGCCTCAAGAGTCCTCCAGGGGGGCTCGAAGAGGCCAACATCACTGATTTGCCTTAGGTTTTCGGATGATTTTGACATCTGCTTCGTTTCGGCCTTCCGACGGCTCAAGACGGCCCAAGAGGCCCCCAAGATCGCCCATGAGGCCTCCAAGATGGCCCCATGACGGCTCAAGAAGCCCCCAAGACGGCCCCAAGAGGGCACAAAGACGACCCAAGAGGCTTCCAAGACGCCCAAGATGGCCTCCAAGACGGCCCTGGAGCACCCCAAGAGGGCCCCAAGTCGGCCCAGAACGGCCCCCCAAACGGCTTCCGACGGCGTCAGACGGGCCAGGAGCCCACCAAGATTGCCGAAGTTGGCTCGAAGCTGGCCCAAGACGGCCCAGGAGGCCTCCAAGAGGGCCTCCAGGAAGGCAAGAAAGGCCAAAAACACTGATCTTCCTTAGGTTTTCGAAGGATTTTGACATTTACTTCGTTTCGGCCTTCTGACGGCCTTAGACGGCCCAAGAGCTCCCAAAGATCGCCCAAGGATCGCTCAAGAGGCCTCCAAGATGGCCCCAGAACGGCCCAAGAGGCCCCCAAGACGGCCCCAAGAGGCCCCCAAGACGGCCCAGAAGGCTCTTAAGAAGCCCAAGATGGCCTCCAAGACGGCCCTGGAGCATTCCAAGAGGGCCCCAAGTCCGCCCAGAGAGGCCCCCCAAACGGCTTCCGACGGCGTCGGACGGGCCAGGGGCCCACCAAGACAGCCGAAGATGGCACTAAGATGGCCCTAGACGGCCCAAGAGGCCTCCAAGAGGGCCTCCAGGAAGGCCCGAAAAGGCCAACATCATTGATTTCCCATGAGTTTTCTGCCGGCCTTCCGACCAAAAAGGCCCGAAAAAGCCAAAATCATTGATTTCCCATCAAAGGTCGCCCAATAGGCCCAAGATGGCCCGAAGAGACCCCCAAGACGGCCCAAGAGGCCTCCAAGACGCTCAAGATGGCCTCCAAGACGGCCTCAGAGCCCTCCAAGACGTCCTCCAAGAAGGCCCGAAAGGGTCAAAACGGCCTCCAGGCGGCCCAGGATGACCTTCAAGATGCCCACGTGTTCCACGAAGGCTTGCCAAACCGATTCTGGGCTTGGCCGGTCTGGCCTCAACGTTCAGCCACATAGGCGCCTCCACAAAGGCAGGGGGCGGCGGTGATTCGCCGCAGGCGTCTCCGATAAGCAGCACTTGCGCAGAAATACGGTCGGTTCGCGCCGCTTCGACCGGCGGCGGCCCCGCCGCCTGCGTTCCACGTTGAACGCCGCCGGCGACCCAGCATCGGTCGATGCTGAACGAGCCGACGCTTCGGGAACGGACGCGAAGCCGCCGCACAAACTCTCAGAGGGCCGTGCGGGTGTCATGGGTCGGCGCTGGGGCCCCCTTGCCAGGTGCTCGGCGCGCACCAGTGGGGGTAGGCACAGGGGGGGATGCATCGACCCCCAATCGCTCCCCCTCCCTCCTCCTCCTCCTCCTCCTCCTCCTCCCCCTCCTCCTCCTCCTCCTCCTCCTCCTCCTCCTCCTTCTCCTCCTCCTCCTCCTCCTCCTCCTCCTCCTCCTGCGAGGATGACCGGGAGGACAGGAGAAGCCCGAGGCGTTCAGAGCTTCCTGAGAAGGCCCTCAGAGAGGGGGCAGGCCTTCTCAGAAGTCGGCAGGGGCTTCTCAGACTTCTTCAGGGGCAACGATCGGGGGGGATAGACAATAGGCATAGGGGGGGATACATCGACCCCCAATCGCCCATTGATCGCCGATAGGGGCCCGATAGCCCAAACCTGTCCATGAAGGTGCGGAGTCACGATTGGAGACCTATCGCCGATCTATCGGCGATCTATCGCCGATTCCAGGTCGATGCATCCCCCCCATGCCAGTCCCCCCCTATCGTTGCCCCTTAACCAGCGTGCGCCAGGGGCGGCGCCAGAGGCTCCGCCAGGGGGGTCCAGTGGACCTCCGAGAGTGCATGCTTAAGTCGGGCCTGTCCCTATACAGGAGGCGTGTTCAAAAGTGGTCCAAAATTAGTCTGGGGATGAGTTTTCGACTACTTGTGATCTTCTGGACTATTTTTGCTTCTTCGTCCACAATCCCCCTGTAGGGCCAGGAGGACATGCATGCTCGGAGGAGGAGGAGGAGGAGGAGGAGGAGGAGGATGGAGGAGGGAGAGGAGGAGGAGGAGAGGAGGATGGAGGAGGAGGAGGAGGAGGAGGAGGAGGAGGAGGAGGAGGAGGAGGAGGAGGAGCGTCGGTCTTTGTGGGTTGTTCCCCCCCGTGGCGTCCTGCATGCTCTCCGAGCGCCCGCCCCGCCTCCGCCTCGCCACCGTGGCCGCCTCTCCTCCCCCCTCGCGCCTCCGGCGCCTGTAGCATGCACGCCTCCGCGTCCCGCTCTGCCGCTCCGACCCCGCGGAGCGTCTGCCAGCGCTGCGACAAACCCAGACCCCCTCGAGTAATGAAAAAATCACGACGGGAGGTTTTTCGCCATTTTCGGCCTCGGGGGGCCCTCGCCGGGCCTCGGGAGCGTCAAAAAACGACTCGGGAGGACAAACCGGTCCTGGGGAAGGGGTCGGGAACTCTGGGGTCGACGTAATGAAAAAATCATTACGTCGGGGGTCTGGGAAGAACGTTGCCGTGCCAGCACGGCGCATGATTGCGAGAGATCCCCGCCCGATTTGCTGCAAGCGTGCACGTGCACGTGCATGCACGTGTTGCGCTTCCGCGGCCGCCGAGGCTCCAGTCAAGAAGCCATTCTTTGACATGGTGAATCTGAGCCAGGCATGGAAAAGTTGCGTATCCACAGCTTGAGAGTTCTTTGGTTTCAACCCCGTCCTCCGCTTCCTTCCCCCGCTTGCTTTAAGTCGGGCGTGTCCCTCTACAGGGGGATAGTCAAAAAGTAGCCGGGGGACGATGTTTTGACAATTGTTTGAATCTATGTTTTGCATATGTTTAGATTGTTTATTTGTCCTCCAAAGTCCCCCTGTGGGGGCACATGCCCGACCTAACGCTTGCTCCTCGGCCCCTAGCCTCGGCGCGCTGGCCTGCTCTGCCCCCGGCGCGCCGGGCCCCGGCGCCGGCCCAAGAAGTGCGCGCGGGCCTCCGCGCGGGTCCGACGGAACTCCGGCCTGTCCCTCTACAGCAGGAGAAATAAAAGATAGCCCAAACATGCTCTGGGGACTATTTTTTGTGTATGTTTGATAATTTTAGGGGCATTTCTTGACTTTTCCTTCCTCCAAAAACTGCCTGTAGGATAGAGACGAGTGGCGAAGCGTCCTGGCGTACCTGTAAGCCCACCAAGCAATGTTCTAAGAACCTTTTGAGGTTTCCACGAGATGTTCTCAGAACATTGAACATATCTGGCCGAGGCTGTCTTGTTTTAACACATCGGGTTTACGTTCTAAGAACATTGTTTTGTTCTTGGAACATTGTTGGGTTCTATGCCGGGACGGTCGGTCCCTGCTCAATTAGAGACGAGTGTCATTGAGGGGAGGCAGCAGCGTCAGAGACAAAATAGCAATGGTAGAGCCAAGCAGAAAGCTTCTGCAAGAAGGCCCCGCCGCCCCCGGCGTAGTCTGCGCGCCAAGGAGTGGGGCACAGCGCCGATCCAAGACATCCGCGCGGCCCTGCGAGAGTCGTGTTCGTGCCGTCGCTGCTCTTCGCCGGTTGGCCCTTGCGCACACGGGGTGGGGCGGGGAGCGGCCGCCTCCCAAGAGGGCAGGGGTCTCGTCAGAGGACCCTCTGCTGTTTGAGAGACCACCCCAGAAGCCCCCCACACTTTCTGAGAAGCCCAGACGGCCGCCGCACCCCCCCCCCCTCCTCCCCCTCGCCCCACTCTCGCCTCAGCCCGTCGTTGATCCCCCTCCTGGCCAGGTGGAGGACGACGACGTCGAGGAGCTGCGGGTGGCCCTGGCGGGAGTTGCGGTCGGCGCAATGCCCGCGCAGAAGGCGGTGCCAGCCCGCGGGGGTTGGGAGGGGGCGTCTCCTCCCCCTCGTCGTCGTCGTCGTCGTCGTCGTCGTCGTCGTCGTCGTCGTCCTCCTCCTCCTCCTCCTCCTCCTCCTCCTCCTCCTCCTCCTCCTCCTCCTCCTCCTCGTCCTCCCCCTCGCCGGCCGATCGTGGCCGCTCAGCTTCGACTGAAACAGCCGCTGCGCCTGGCGGCGACGCTTGCAGGGAGGCGATCGACAGTCCAGGAGCGCCTGTCGCCGCCCCGTTGCCCCGCCTGATGGGGGCGAGGTGTGTGGCAGGGTGGAGCTGACCCCCCCTCGTGCGCTCGTCTCCCCCTCCCCCCTCGCCCTGTTCCTCCTCCGTATTCGTTTTGGTTCACGATGGCAAGTTCCCCAGGGTCCAAGCGGAGACCTCCGACCCGAGGCAGTTCCAGGCCCGTGCGGTCGGGTTGTCGGGCGGCGCGGCGCGGCCACGGGGCGTGGAGGGCGCGGCGGGGGCAGGGCGGCGGCCCACTCCGCGGGGCCACTAGGGCATCTGGCGGCGTCGGCGAGGGCAAGGGCGACGGCGAGGCACCTCGCGCCGCCAGAGCCGTGGCGGCGGCCGCCGTCGCCGACGGGCCTGCCGCACGAGACGGCGGGGTTGCCCAGACGCCCACGCTGGCCTGATCCTCTTGGGAGTCTGCGGCGGTGGCGCGAAAGGCCGCTGCTCTCCGACGGCTCTTGTGGGCGCGTGCTTGTTGGGGCTGCAGCGCTGGCGCATCAGTGATGCTCCGTCTGACTGCTGTTGCTCTCGCCGCTCGCCGCTGGGTGGAATGTCCCTTTGCGAGAGTGATGCAGAGACTTGTCCGCATTGCAAGTGACTGCTGCATGCAGAAATGTGAACTGATCACTCTGTGATGTGGTCGAGCGGCAAATTCTCTCGCGTGGCGCTCATGATAATCTACCTGAGCGGCAGAACTCCCATTGCCTATTTGCCTTCCCTGAGGCGCCCCCGCCCCCTCTCACCCGCGAAATCTGCGAGTCCGACCGCGGACGCATCAAATGCTCGCGCATGCATGGCATCGCGCGAAGGCTTCTTTGCAGCCCTGTCGCAGGCAGGTGCCCTGCGGTGCCCCGCGGGGCCCTGTGGGGCCCTGGGTCTTGTGAGCCAGTTTTGCCCCACCGTGACATTTCAAATGCCTTGATATAACAGCCCCACGTGGTCTTCCCCGAGCATGCGCATGGCCTCGATAGCAACATCTCGTTCGGCGTCCATGCGCGGGGCGTCCGTGAAGATGCGAAGGGCATTCCAGGCTCCTTCCCGGACCGGTACGAATGGCAACGCTGCGAAAGTACTTGCTTGCAGTTCCGTCCTGCCTTCATCTGCCGCGGATGATGAGCAACGTGGTGGCGCTCCGTGCTCGACGGACATTGTTGCAATGATTGGGAGTAGCTTGCTGGAGCACCTGGGAAGAAAGACCGTGCTCCCGTTTGGCCGAGCAGATTGGTGGCCCCTAGGCACGAGTGTTTTTCCCCGCGGAATGGCCCCCTGGGGCCCCTGGGCCGCCCCCACGGCGGCCTCCGCAGAGACGGGGTTCGAGCGGGGAGAGGCGAGTTGGGGGGAGTGCTACTTAAAGTGGTCGGAGCTCCAAAGCTGCTCGGATCGCGCTGGCTGGACCTCGCGGGTCAGATGCTCCTGCCTGGGCATTATTTTTACCAGGTGTCGGAATCGATCGCGCGCCAAAGTCGAGCTGAGATGACACAGGTGTCCCTAGCGCCAAGTCGATGGTCGGGGTGATTGCGTCATGGCGAAGATCTGAAGCATCGGCGTGAGATTGTGCGCTATGTCTGGGCATACCAGTTCTAGTTTTGGATCAGGCGCGGCTTGCCCTGACGCCCGTTCCGAGATGCGGCGCAACTTGCACTGATCTCCTCAGCGGGCCCAAGGGCTTCTCGTGTCAATATCGGCTTGGGCTCGCTTCCTGAGATCATACTAAAATCAACGGTCTGGGCTTTTTTTCGCTCCCACGCATAACTTGAAGGTGCTCTTTGTCCACGCCTCGCTTGCCGTGGCGCGCTCCACGATCTTGAGGTCCTTGCGCGGCGGACTGTGCATGCTGCGAGACTCGATCTTCTCATGGCTCGTGAGCTGGCTGCTTGTGGGTCTGGGCAGATGAGGACCCTCGTTGCTGTTGATCGGCTGGGTCGACGTGAGTGCGCGGTCGAAATGAAAGTTTTGCGCCGGGTGCTGCGGTCCTGGGATAAGCTCGCGGGGCGCCTTGAACAGCGCGGCGACGTCCTGCTGGCCGTTGCAGATCGGGGCGGGCATCTGCGATTGGCGCGGGAAGCGCTGCTGCTCCAGGTGATGCAACTTGCGTTGTTGCTCTTGGTAATGTCTTCGATGGCTGAGCACATGGAATGGTCGGCTCACCTTGGCTCTGCTAGTGCTTCTCCTTGACCGACTTGGACGCTGCGTGCTGGCGCTGCCTCCGCCGAGCTGACAGGCGCTGCCACCGCCTGTCACGCTGCCTCTGCCATCGCCCGTCCCTCTGGCGGTTTCACCGCCTGTCCCGTTGGCGCTGCCGCCGCCTGTCCCGCTGGCGCTGCCACCGCCTGTCCCGTTGTCGCTGTCCCCGCCTGGCCCACTGGCGGCATGGCTGCCGCCGCTGAATGAAACTCCATAACGCCCTGGGGCATTGGGAACTGCATGCCCTGGGGCGGCGGGAACAACATGATGTACTGTGCCATGTGGGTGGCGAGCACATTGGTGTTGAACTGCGTCTTCTGCGTGTCAGTGATGAGGTTAATGAGTTGACCGCCTTGATCTGGTTGTTGATCTGGCGGTGGTGGTGCTGCTGCTCTTGCTGGATGCATGCGTGCTCCAGACGCTGCAGCCTCTTGCAAGGTCATGCCGCCTTCGTTGCTGTCGGTGCCACTGTCATTGCCTTTGCCCCAGCCCTTGGCGCCTAAGCAGTTGAAGTGGATTTTTGGCTTGGGCGGTCGGCTCTTGAGTGCAGGCGGCGGTGTCTGCTCCCGCGATGAGCCAGAAGTGCCGCGCTGCTGGGGGGCGTCGCCCGCTGCCATGGGATCGGCCAGGTCGTCTTCGTGACGGGGCTTGAGCTTTGAGAATTCACGCGTTGACGGACAGGATGTCCTGCTCGATGTCTTGCTTCTGCTGTTGGAGCCGAAGACGAGTTGTGCTACGTGGCAGACGATCTTGAGCTTTCTCGCGCTTGGTGTACAACCTTTGAATATGCTAGCGCCTCGGCTGCATGAGGCCTGGACTTTACGCAGCATGCTGGACTCCCCGTTGGGCCGCTTGTCGTCTTCATGCTTGCCAGCTTTCATCGCGCATGGGGCTAGGCGGGCCAACGCCGTTTGTTTGTTGCCCAGCTCCCGCTGGAAGCTCATTTAATCCCAGGCAGTGACGTGCTGGGTGCTCTACTGCCTCCGCCCTCGTCTTGGGAATGATGCACAACAAATGATTGTGTGCATGCTGATCTTCGCGATTCTGCCAGGCCTTCGGTAACCGATTCGGCTCGCGGCTTAGGTGTTTGCTGGTGATTTTCGGTAAAGCGCATGATGCTTGATCTCGGCGTGCTCCACATGGGCACCAGCGGAAATCATTCCTGACCATTCTTCCAGATGGTGTCTTGTGGTATATCCAATTGCCAGTTGATGATTTTGAGCTGGCTCAGCCATTGTTATCGAACTCGGTCGTTGTGCACTAACTATGATGGCGACGTAGTCTTTGACGGGCTGCCTCGATTGTCACACGCACTATCGCGATGCGCCGCCGAGCCCTGGCTTGCCGGTGCCATGCCAAGCCAGCTCTCCAACTATCATGGCTAATCTGCTGGACGTGCTCGGGATGTGCCCGCCCGGCGCACGCGCCGAATGTCAGGCCGCTCCGAAGCCGTGCTGAGGGCGCGGTCGGGGCCAAAACCTTTCCCCCCTCCTCTCTCCCCTCCCCCTCTCCTCCTCCTACTCCTCCTCCTCCTCGCTTCCTCCTTCTCCATCTCCTCCTCTTCCTCCTCCTCTTATTACCTCCTCCTCCCCCTCCTGCATCCTCCGCCCTCGTGAGGAGGAGGGAGACGAGGAGGAGTAGGAGACAGGAGGGAGGAGGAAGGGGGGAAGGAGGAGTAGGAGACAGGAGGGAGGAACATGTGGAGCAGGAGGCGGAGGAGGAGGATGATCGGGGGCGGAAAAGTGGGGGGTAATGACTAGGGGGGGTGGATATCATGGCGGGGGCCATGATATTTCCTCAGATTTCATGGCGCCTCTTCTTATTTCATTACGTCCCTGGCCCCCCCGCTGGGCCGCGCACATGCCGCTGGTCATGATTTGCACCCCCCCCTCTTTGACGCCCCCCTCTTGGCCGCTCCCGAGATGAGGAGGAGGAGAGGAGGAGGAGGAGAGGAGCGAGCAGCGATGAGGAGGAGAAGGAGAAGGAGGAGGAGCGATGAGCGATGAGCGAGGAGCGAGGAGGAGGGAGAGGAGGGGAGGAGGAGGAGGAGGAGGAGGAGGAGGAGGAGCGGGAGCGAGGAGGAGCGGGAGCGAGGAGCGAGGAGAGGAGCGAGGAGGAGGAGGAGGAGAGGAGGAGGAGGAGAGGAGGAGGAGGAGGGAGGGAGGAGGAGGGGAGGAGGAGGAGCGGGGAGCGAGGAGCGAAGGAGGAGCGAGAGCGAGGAGGAGAGGAGGAGCGAGGAGCGAGGAGCGGGGAGAGGAGAGGAGAGGAGAGGCGGCGCGAGGAGGAGAGTGGAGCAGGTGGTGCCCGCCCGCCGGGGGGGCTTTCTCGCCGTGCTGCTGCGGGCCGTCAGCACCCGGACGTCGCTCTCCGTGCTGGCCGCGCTCGGGGTGCAGGCGTCGGAGGGCGATCACCACCCATCCTCGTCCTCGTCCTCGTCGTCCTCCTCCTCCTCCTCCTCCTCCTCCTCCTCCTCCTCCTCCTCCTCCTCCTCCTCCTCCTCCCCTGAGATCCATCGCTCCAACAAAAATTGGAGCGGCGGGATTTTGGCAGTTTTCGTTTTCCGGGGGCCCTCGCCGGGCTTCGGGAGCGTCAGAAACGACTCAGGGCGAAAAACCGGTCCCGGGGAAGTGGTCCAGACCTCCGGGGTCCATGCACCAAAAAAATTGGAGCAGCTGGATGTCTGAGCCACCACCCACCAAGCCGCCCCAACCCACTTCGAAGGCCCTCCATTCCCAGTGTAGGGGGTGTCGGGGACCATGGGGAAATCACTTGCAGTGGAGATCCGTGCCAAGAAGCACCCTGCTTGCCTCCAGGGTGCCCTGAGTTTCTTGGGCTTCGATGGCTTTGCGATGAGAGGCGTGACGTTCCCACACCAAAAATCAACGGACGTCCTGGGGTCTCAGGGTTGGATTTCTTGGTGGAACGTTTCCTGTGGTCGGGCCCCTACTGTATGAAGCCCGTACCCCCCCACAAACCTGAAATTCGGGGCTCCGGGTTGGGTTGGGGGCGGAGCGTCTTTGTTCCACCTCGGCCCCTCCACTCCTCCGACCGGGCAAGCGCTGCGCTGCACGTGCTTGAACTCGTGCTCTTCCTTGTCGAGACCACGGCCTCCACGCCGTGCCCTGCTGGGCACAGGCGGCCTCCCCAGCGGAGCGCGCGCGGCTCCAGCGTTCGCTCCCTCGTGCGTTTCCCTCGTCTTCGACGTTGCAGCAGGTTCGCAACGGCGGCCGTCGGCCCCCGTGGGTTCCTGCCAAGCTTCCCCGGGGCGGCCTTTTCATCCCGACTCGTTTTGTTGACGGTCCCAGGGTCGGGAAACGTCCTCCACAGGTCCAAAATGGCTCGTCGTCGTTCTCGTCTTCGTTCTCGTCATCGTCTTCGTCTCCGTCGCCGTCGTCGCTCGCCTCCTCCTCTCTCGTCCTCCTCCTCCTCCTCTTCCTCATCCCCTTCCTGCTCCCCGTCTTCCTCTTCATCAACCTCTTCCTCCACTTTGTCTTCCCACTTTTGATCCTCTGCCTTCATTCCTCTTCCTTCTGAATAACTCCCAGGTGTCCTCAGTTATCTCTCAAGACTGTCAGGGCGTTATTGTTCCGTTTTTCAGTTCCTCCTCTGTTCGTTCTTCCTCCGCTTTGTGGAAATTACAAACGGAAGCGCAGCGAAGCTCGAACACAGAAAATGGCGCCATTCGGGAGCGGATACGGAAGCAAAAACAGCAGCTGACATCTGCGACCGCCAGAACCTTTCGAGGCTCCCGATGCGGAACAAAAACGCTGCGTCTTCCTTTTCAGTTTGCCCGAATGCATAACCCGGAGCCCGGGTTCCGGCGAGGTTCGCATGACAGGCGGTTGAAAACGTACCGGAAACGCATCGAAAATTGGAAAAACGAAGGGGGCGGGCAGGCGAACTCTGGGGCAACCTGACCCCATGCCCGGCGAAGACGCCAGCGCATCTTCCGCTCCGGGCACCTCCTCCGACAGCGACTGAGACCATACCTGTCGATCGACCAATGCGGGAGAGACGGGATCGGAAAAGAAGCAGCACGCCGAGAATGAGTAAATAACGATGCGAAATCGGCAACGGACATCGACAACCTACCGCTTCCAACTTGCATGAAAACGCACATGGAATTGAGTCAACACAGTAAACAACATGTGGCAGCTCAAAACCGGAACAAACATAACCCTGATTGTTTTGAGAGAGACCTAAGCCCATTCCGCACCACCAGACGAGTATGCCAGGCAGAACGTGTTGCCCATGATTTCGTGGACAATTTCCAGCGTGAAGCTTGGAAGCCCGAACAGTTGAAACAATGATGAAGGGCCAGTTGTTCAAGAATGTAGTTCTCGCTTTCAGCGCCGCTTGCTACAAGTTATGGAGGGCCAGTCTTTTTTGAATCTGCGGTTCTCGCCGTAGCGCAACGCACGTTCGTCCTTTCAAACTTACAGCTACAGAGTTGAAGGGCGGCCCCTTTTCAAAGATGCGGCTCTCGTTGAAGACCTTTGCAACTTCAAGCACAATAATCGTGAACATGTAGTGACTGCACGGAGGGAGGGTGGGTCCTTTTCAAATTGGGTTCTGGCTTGAGACTTCTCCAGGTTTTATGAACAGAAGTGCAAGTTGGTGCAATGGTTAAGCAGATGGAGGGGTCCTCTTCAAACCGCTGCTCTCGCTGGACATCCCGTTGATTTGTATAGCAATATTTTGGAAATGCGCCAGATGGGTAGACACCAGTCCTTTTCAAAACGGAGCTCTCGCCAGAATGGTACGCCCATCGGCGCCCATCGGGTGTGCATTTTTCAAGGGGGCGCTTCTTCCACAAATGATGCTTGCAATTCGGGGTCCTTGCTTAGTTTTCGCATTACATTAGAGAAAATCAAAGCTGTAGACTCAACGCTGGTGCTGGCTCACAACGTCTGCCCGCCGTGGAAGCAGTCTTATCTACTCATGCTCAACATGTCTGCTCAGTTTAATTCCCCAGCTGTGCTCTATGTTCTCTGAGATGCAGTCCCTACCTTCCGCGCTATGTTCTCGGATTGTGACCGTGGTTGCAAGTATTGTCTCCGTCTCTCTCTACTCCGTCTCTCTCTCTCTCTCTATCTTTCTTTACAATTATCTGTTCTCTCTCTCCCTCTCTGCTCAGCTCCCGTTCTCGGCTTGCCGATCTTACGCACTCTCTGCTCTTAACTCCGCTTCGCTCTCTGGCGCCAGAACCCCAGAAACTGGGAACCGGGGAGCACGACCGCCCACCGACATCGGGCCAGTGTGTTCGGTGCTTCATGTCTCCGCTCTAGAACCCTTCGGTGCAAGCGCGTGTTGGGGAACGATTGGGTGGGTGCGTCGAGGTCTCGCCGTGTTGCCGCCCGTGGGCGCCTCGTGGCCGCCTCGTGGCCGCCACGCGTGCTGGATGGCTGTGCCGAGGCTTCGCCTCGTGGCCGCCCCGTGCGCCGAGGGGCTGCGGCGTGGCCGCCCGTGGCTGTGCTCGTGGGCGCCTGATGGGCGCCACCGCGCGCTGGCTGGGTGTGCCGAGGCTGCGCCCGGCTGTCGCTTGTGGGCACCTCGTCGGTGCTCAGTGCGCTACGTGTGTGTGTATGCGCAGTGGAGGAGGAGGAGAAGGAGGAGGAAGAGGAGGAGGAGGAGGAGGAGGAGGGCGGAGGAGGAGGAGGAGGAGGAGGAGGAGGGCGGAGGAGAGGAGGAGGAGGAGGAGGAGGAGGAGGAGGAGGAGGAGGAGGAGAGGAGGGGAGGAGGGAGGAGGGGAGGGAGGAGAGGAGGAGGGAGGAGGAAGGAGGAGGCTGCGAAGGCAGAGGGAGCTGAGGAGGAAGCCGCGGGCGAGGAGGCATCGGTATCCCCAGGCGTCCGACGATTTGTTTTCTTGAAAAAGGCCGCCCCAGAGGACCGGGCCCCTCCATGGGGAGTTCTTCGTCCCAGGCGGCTGTTTGGCGACGCGGGCCCCGAAAACGGCCAGCAAAGGCCGAAATCGAGGGAAAGCACCAGGGTTGGGAAAATCATAACATCAGATGTCTGGGTTTTTGTTCCCCCACAGGCTGTCATTAACCTTGCCTGCCAGTGGCTGATGCGACGCCGACAGCGATCTGAGACCTTGTGGCGGAAGCACGTGGACCTGAGCGTCGTGCAGGCGTGCCTGTTGACCACAGAGCATCTGCAGGATTCGAATCAGAAATTTCGGCATGGACATGGACATGCTAGCAAGAGGTGACCCAAAGCAGTATGTTCTTGCAACATATGCGGTGCAATGAGAGGTGCAATCTAGGTGGTGCAATCCATGTGGTGCAATCTATGTGCTGCATAGCAACGCAAGGCAACCCAACGCACTGCAAGTGCTGCAACGCACTGCAAAAAGCAGTGCAACAACAAATACATTACAATGCAACATGATGCAAACCAATGCAGCGGGATGCAGAGCAATGCAGAACAATACACAGCAGTGCAAAGCAATGCGATTGAAAGGCAATGCGACTGCAATGCAATGCGATTGCAACGTAACGCCACGCGATTGCAGCGCAATGCGACTGCAATGCAACGGGGGGGGTGCAACGGGGCGGCGGCGACGTGCAGGAACGGGGCCGCAAACGGGGCGGCAAACGGGCCTCTGCAGGCGATCCCTCCTCCCTCCTCCCTCCTCCCTCCTCCCTCCTCCTCCCTCCTCCTCCCTCCTCCTCCCTCTTCCTTCTCCCTCCCTCCTCCCTCCTCCTCCCTCCTCCTCTCCTCCTCCCTCCTCCTCCTCCTCCCTCCTCCTCCCTCCTCCCTCCTCCCGATTGGTTTGCAGTGGTTCGAGGGGCCGCGACGGGGCGGCGACGGGGACGCCAAGGCGGCGGACCCGGCAGCCAGGCCCAGAACACGGGCGGCGACGAGCCGGTGACCTGGGGCGGTGGCGGCGACGACGAGGCGGCGGGCCCAGCAGCCAGGCTCGGTTTCTTCGAAACGACGGGCGGCGACGAGGAGGCGACGGCGGCATCAAGGCGGCGGACCCGTCAACCGGGCCCAGTCCCGAAAAAAGAAGTCAGAGCCCTCGATTTGCAAGCACTGTTTTGGAAATGACTGTTCGGAGGTCTCCGTGCGGATCTTTTCTGGGTCAGCGACACAGGTAACGACGTAAGGTTTTGGTCGTTTTTGGTTTCTGGGGCCCTCGTATGAAAACAAGATGATTCAGAATGAAAAGCCCGTCCCGAGGAAGTGGCCTAGACCTCCATGGTTTACATAAACTTAGATGTTCGAAGGTCCGTGCGAATTTCCTGGATCGGCGTTGGACGCCCCTCCCAGATCGCCCCCGCGCGGCCGAGAGGGGTCCAGCGTCAAGCCAATAAATCCGTGCGGGCCTCCAAACGTTTATGCTCGCGCCGATGCTTGTTCCTTCTGAGGACCTGGGGCGAATAGAGAAGCGAACCCTGTTCGTCAAGCCCATCGCCGAGGTGTTCCGGAACAAGTACATCCTCGACAGGTCCCTCCCTCCCCTCGGGGAAGCGAGTCCCGAGGCCCAGGGAGGTTCCCGTGGGGTCGAGGTCCCTGAGCCCCTGGACGTGTACGGAGCCGCTGCGTGGCATGGCTTCCCGGATCCGAGGGCCGCGGCGCTTCGGCGCCGCTCGGAGCGTGGTAGGGAGGCCAGTCTCGGCCAGGCCCACGGGGACCTGGGGCCCGCCCTCACTTTGACTCAAGTCCTTACGAGTTTCGCTCCTCCTCCTCCTCCTCCTCCTCCTCCTCCTCTTCCTCCTCCTCCTCCTCCTCCTCCTCCTCCTCCCCCACTCCTCCTCCTCCTCCTCCTCCTCCTCCTCCTCCTCCTCCTCCTTCTCCATGTTGTATTTCGCGTTGCTTCAGTCTTCTCGGGGACACGTGAAACTCGAAGGACGCCCCCATCGGACAAACTCTCGAGCCCCCACAGCTCAAATCCAATGCACCAGCAGGGCGGAGCCACCGGGCCTTGCCAACCCCGCTGCCCTGTGTCTACCCACATGAACAAATCCCCCAATCCCCCGATCTTCCGATCTTGCTGATCCCCAGTTCCCTTGAACCCAATCCAGAACCCGTGCTATCCCAGATCGTCGTGCGGTTGCCCCTTCGCTGGCCCTGTGACAAGTACAACTGGCTCGCCGCCTTAAGCCCAAGCTTTTACCGTATCAGGCCCAGCGGGCCGTGTGGGGCTGCATGCGCGCGGCAGCCAGACTGTTGAGAAGTGCAGTCACACGGGGTCGTTTGGGGATCTCTCCTCCTCTCCCCGCTACTCTCCCCCCTCCTCCTCCGGCTCCTCTTCCCTCCCTCCTTCCTCCTTCCTCCTCCTCCTCCTCCTCCTCCTGCTCCTCCTCCTCCTCCTGCTCCTCCTTCTCCTTCTCCTCCTTCCCTGGGGGTCAGGAGGCTTTCTGACTGCATTGGAGGCGGGTTCCCTGTCTTCCCAATTCCCCAGGCATCCGACGATACGTTTTTTCTTGAATCCGAGGCCCCAGAGGCCCCGACACTTTCCCCAGGGGCAGGTTCTCCCCGCAGATGTATTTCCGATGGCGCCCGGGGCGGCCCTTGGGGCCGAAGTCATGAAAGAAACGCCGCGATTGGACAAAGTCATACCGTCGGATGTCTGAGTACCACCCCCTCTCCAAAGACTGCGCCGCAAACGGACTTGAACATAAGTCTTCGACAGGGTCTTGTCAGCGGCGGAGAAGATCGCCGCCTCGGGCGAGGACCCGATTCTGGTGACGCACATGACCACCGAGGACGGTCCAGAATCGACGACGTGTGGTGGCGTTGTGTCCCCTACCCGGCAAGGTGGGGTTGTCAGCTTTGGAGACCAAGACATCTGACGACGTGACGTTCTCAGTGGCGGCGTTTTGTCCCCTACCCGACAAGGTGGGGTCGGATGATTTGAAGACCAAGACATCCGACGACGTGAAGTTCTCAGTGGCGGCGTTTTGTCCCCTACCCGTCAATGTGGGGTCGTAGGGAATGAAGGCGCTTGTTCTCAACCTTTCGCCCGCCGCTTTGCAGTCCGTGTGATCGCAGGGCCCCACACGTCCCAGAGGTCCCTTTGGATTTCCCGCGTCGCATGTCGTTGACGAGCGACGACGTCAGAACCAGCATGCCGTGGCAAGCGCGCGACGATGACGAACGAACGACGACATTGCCGCCTGCGCGCGCCCGGCTCAAACAAGTGCCGCCCTCTCCTTCCGCGCCGCGCGCGGGGCTGGCCGGGAGGGAGGATCACCGTGGTTTCTGGGGTTTCCACCTCGCGTCCTCGACGAGCGAGAGTATAATTAACAGGCACAACGAGTTGAAACCAATACACGATCAGCACACATCAAGAAAGCACACCCACACACGATGCATGCGGTATATACGCATGACAACGGCACAACGCAGTCGCACGTAATACACCGAAACAACCACGTGCACATATCATGAACGCGTGACGCACATGAGCAGCGTATCGTACGCCGTGCGCGTAGATAGCAGACTCAGGAGACGCGCGTAAGTGGCAGACATGCGCAGCACATGTCCGCGAAACAGATTGAATTAGCGCGTGGACCTAATTCTCGCGTTGCGAAAAAAACAAGTTTCCTCATCGCACATACAGACAGCCAGGAAGCGTGTTTCGCCGCGATATGGTGCATGAGTAAATGATCACGGCGATTATTCTGGCACGACGTGCGTCGCGACGTCACTCTGGCCCTGGAAAGTCTTGCGCGGTCTCAATCAGTCAGATGACGACGAACAGCATTAGAACAAAATGCAACATGGTAGAAGCATTCCACAACTTACCAGGCATGATGGCTCTCACGATTTCACGCCGGACCGACGAAAACCAAGGGCACCAAGATGCGCTCCAGGAGACCGACGAGAAACACAATTGTTGGCAGCGTGAGAAGACCCATGTATTTCATAATGCTAAGGGTGCACCGGCATGACAGGCAACGCAGCGCCACGTTGGCCCGAGAGAGACCAAGCGCCGCAACGACAGACTTTATGAAACGGGCGAGGCGGCATATAACATGAATAACCCCGAGAATTCGGCAGCACACACATGAACAAGATATGCAAGCTCATACTAGCACACACGCGCATCACACATAAAAACAAAACGGCACAATGAATTGTGAGCACAAGATGCGTCACGACGTCACGCTGCCCCGACAAACGCCATGCGACAACGACCCTTACATGCACAGTGGTTCCCTGGCCATCACGTGGGGCCGCGCAGAGGATGAGGACCACCCCAGACCTCCTGCTATAGCCCTCGGGCGGCGTGGGATCCCCACATGCGGCGTTGAAGAGACGGCGCTGCCTTCGAGGATCGAAGGAATTGGCATCTCTTCCGGAAGAGCTTTTTCCCCGGTGGAAGGCAGCGACAAAGCAGCGGATGTTGGCGGAAGTCAAACGAGGGAGGCTCCGCGGGCGGAAGCAAAAGTTGCCTCCCAAAGAGGTGGCAAGTTTCTGGGGTGGGGTCAGAGTTGCCAGAACCCACTTCCTCCTGGGCGGGCTGCTCGTGCCGAGCTCTTCCTGGACGGCCCCGGGGCCTGGAAACGGCCCCTGGACGCAGGAGGCGACGAGAAGCCGGCCGCCGCGGTGCCTCAGGATGCTCCTGCGGCACCTGGGCCTGAGGGTCCTTCCTGTTTTCTTGTATCTTCATGATGTCCCAGCCTAATTCAGCCTTGACCACGAGGAAAAAAATCGAGCACCAGAGAATTAGCGAAGCTCGGGATTTTTCACGTGTCGGGCCCTGGGAAACACTCGTCCGACACTGTTTCGACGCACTTTCCTGGGTGCTCGAAATCATTTTTGGGATGTGGTTCTTAAGTACGATGGGAGCAACATAGCTGTTTTCCTCTTCCTGACTTCCTTCCTTCTTTTTATTCTCCTGCGTGTGAGCGCCTGGATCTCGGGGGAGGCGCCAGCCTCGACGGCCCCCCCTGGAGCCAGAGGCTCTTACTTTGGAACGGGTGAGCGGCCGTCGGCGGGGCACGTCCCAGTGAGTCGTGAGCCCAGGCATGGAACCAAAAGGCAATCTTTACGGTGGGCAGTCCCACCCCCCACGGTAGTCGGGTTGACCGAAAATGGGGTCCAGCGACAAGGGGGTGGTGCAATAGATTTGGTGCCATATATTCGTGGGGTTGCAATACATTCGGGGCGTGCAATACATTCCAGGGCGCAAACGTATTGCTTGATTTTCGCGTGTAACACAGTAGTTGCAATACAATGTAATACAATTCTCCGGCGCAATACATGTGCAAATTAATTGCCCTAAATCTATTGCACCACTCCTTTGCAGCTGGACCTCTTTTTGGGCCACCCAAAGCTAGGTTCGCGTCGTGTCAGATCGGTGCCGACCGCATTGGAGGCGTTCCAGGTCGGACACCACCGGCGGCCCTTCGTGCAACATGGAGCGAGTTGCGTTTTTGTTTGGAGAGCCGCGATCGTTCCAGTTGGGAGGATCCACGCTGTGCCAGAAGCCAGTGCCGAAACGATACACGCACTTGCCGTAATTTCCTGCTCCCCTTTCCCCGTCAGGTCCGGGCGTAGCAACAAAAGGTCGAGGCGGAGGGGTTGCGTAAGTTTCGGCCTCTGGATGCCGCTTCCCTGACCAGGAACTGTCAAGCTACTACTCAGGAGGACAAGTTGACCCTGGGGAAGTAGTCAAGCTCCCTGGGGTCCGACGTCGCGACCACAATTGCAACTTCGGAGGAGACGGTTTTCCTTTCTGGGACTCTGCTTTCCTTCTGCAGACAGCGAACCTCCCCATTCACCCCCTCCCTCACTCGCGCTCGTCTGAGGACAAGTGGCACGTGCTGAACACCTGCACCAACATGATAAGCGCCTGCTTTGCCCCCTACCATGTGTTTTTCAACCAGGCCTTCAGGGGAGGGAGGGGGGGGGGCAAGACTGTTCGGAGGAGGTGTTCATGCGGAGGAGGAGGGGGAGGAGGAGGAAGAGGAGGAGGAACGACCGAACGAAACCCCCAGGCAACAGACGATGTGATTGTCCTATCCGCGACCCTAGAGACCCCGACCCCGGCCCCGGGGAGAGTTTCTCGTCCTGGCTATTTTCGATGACCCCAGGACCCAAAGCCAACTCCTGGAAGCCAAGATCCAAGAAGAAGGTGCGGCTGAGAACAACACATCTAGGGCTTATAAACAAACGAACGCTGCCGGTGCCTGGGTGATTTGTGCCAGCCGCGGGCAGGGATCGGCCCCTACGACCAAGGACTGCGGGGCAGGAGAAAACCATTCAGGATGAATAGCCGGCACCAGGGAATTGATCACCAACCATGGGACCGATGTCACGAATCAAAACACATAAACATAAACTTTTGGCGCTCCGCGCGGATTTCTTGGATCCGCGCTGGGGCCCCCCCCAGCGGCGCCTCTGGCGCCACCCCTGGCGCGCTCCGCGCGCCAGGGAGAGGGGTCCAGCGCGGATCCAAGAAATCAGCGCGGAGTGCCAAAAGTTTATATCTATTTGTTTTTTTGTTTCTAACGAACATATTGCAAGTTGGAGGGGAGGGTTTAGGGTTGTGGTTTTCGTTTTCATGTTGTCGTTTGCGTTTCCGTGTAGTTGCCCAGGCACCAACTAAGGAGGACTGTGCGACCTAGGCCTCGCAGTCTTCTCTTCCTCCGTCCTGAACAAAAGTCGGAACCGTTCGCATATCCGAACTAGACTTGGCGGCGCGCACATTTGGGCGGCGCGAGGGGGGCGGCCTTCTGGGTAGGCGGAGGCTTCTCATATCGGGAAAGCGTAGGACTCGAGTACGCCAGAACTCGGATTTGCCGACATGTTTAGACGAGCGCGTCCTGGATTTTGACGGTCCGGTTTTCGTGGGATGTTTGCAGCGGGAGCTCGCGTCAAGTTTCAGAACGGGTCTCGTCATTTTCAGGCATGGCCCCGTCAGACCAACCCGAGTCCCCCGAACCCGAGTCTTACGTCTCCCCGGCTCTAAGAAGGCGGGGGCCTGAGAGTGGACGGCGGCCTTCAGAAGAAGCCGAGAGGCCTTCTTCTGAGAAGCCCTTGTGCTTTCCAAGACGCCCCCCTGACTTTTCCAAAGACCGCCCCTCTCGCGTCACCACCCTTTTTCTGCGTGCCGCCAGTAGACATTGCCGCGCCTGAGCGCTACCAAACGTACCACAGTCGCCGCCTGTCCTGTGCTCCGACAGGCTTGGTGGAGCGCATTTTTTTACGAACGCCCGCGCAGGACGTCGCGGGCCCGACTGCTGCCAAATATCGCTGGCGGGGGGGGGATCCCAGACTTCTGGTGGATTGATTTCTTCTGACGGCGCGCTGTCATTATGTTCTGGCCTCCAGGGGCCGTTTTCTGGCCTTGCCCTCAGGGAAGGGGTCTAGACCTCCCTGGGCATTGCCCAGACATCCGACGATGAGATTGTGTACAGCCCGCCGCCCCAGAGATCCTGACCCTTCCCAGGAGCAGTTGTTTGTCAAAGATCCATGTTGCATGGCGCTGGGCTCGAGAACAGCACCCACAGGCCCTGGGCCCGAAAACAGCATCCTAGGCCCGAAAAAGAGCCGCGACAGAACAACCGCATCGTTGGATAGTTGGGGCACCTTCAGATCGGGCCTTCGCAGCGAACATCGCGACGGACAGCTTTTCGTAGACTTAGTCGTCCTCTCGGAGGCCGTGTCCTGGACTCTGCGGCCCGCCGAATCGCGGCGCAGTGTGAAAAGACGGCCCCTGGGAGGAGGTGGTCGAGATCCCGTAATTTATGATGTTCCAACCTACTTTAGCCTTGATCACCAGACACAATTTCGAGCACCAAGAAAGTACCGAAACTGGAGGGTGTTCGCGCGTCGGGCCCTGGGAGGCGGCACTCCTTCGACGCCGCTTCGATGCTCTCCTGGGTGCTCGAAAAATTTGTTTCCGGGATGCGGTCCTTCAGTACGACGGGGGCAACATAGCCCGCTGCCCTTCGCCAGGGTGACCTTTCGGCGCGGGCCCGCAGGGGTCACCCCACCGGCTTGCGCGCTCGCGGGACGGCCCGTCTTTGGGGCCTGGCGCCCCAGCTTCGCTCTTTGGCACCGCATCTCGGGGACCTCGGTGGCTTCACGAATTCGCTTACAGTTGGGGGCCCATGCCAAGAAACACCCTGCTTGCCTCCAGGGGGCCCCGGGTTTCTTGGGTTTAGATGGTTTTTGCGATGGAAGGCGCGACGTTCCCACACCCAAAATCGATGGACGTCCTGGGGTCTCAGGGTTGGGCTTCTTGTGAAAGGTTTCTTGTGGACTGGCCTCCATCATAGGCAGCGGGAGATGAGCAGGGGCTGCCTGTCCTAGAAGAGAGGCGGTTTAGCCTGAAAGACTCGCCAAGTGATGAACATGCGTTGGGCCACATCAGATTTCTTTGGCGCCACCCTGTACGCCCGGTAGATGCATGCTTCGTTGCCTCGCTTTGTTGTCTGTGCAGTTGTTCGTGCACCCTGGCCGATGCACATTTAGTTGTGCGCCGGCGGTCCCGTTGGCGGTGCGTGGAGCTGGCGGAGTTAAGAGAGGCTGGCGCAACCAAGAGGAAGAAGAACACGTATTCCATTGGCCCCACACTGGGCCAGATGATGCTTCACGAAGGCGTCGCCGAGCATGTGATCGTGCCGTGTCCGCCGCGGCCGGGCTGCTCGCCGCTGCCGCCGGCCACGCCCGCCTTCCCAGCCGCCCCTCCGTGGGCAGGGAGCCCAAGCCAGACCAGACAGGGAGTTCCTTTCCTCCCGACGGGATGGAGGACAATCGGGCTCCAGAGCGAGCCACATCACCGATGCATCGGCGGTGCAGCACGATCCTCCGACCCCGTCCGCTTGGCCCATGGACTCGACCCCATCTGCTCGGTCATGCACTCGACCCCATCTGCTCGGCCCCAGGCCAAAAAAGGAAGCAGTTCCTGCCTCCTGCTCCTCCTGCTCCTCCTCCTCCTGCTTCTCCTCCCCTCCTCCTCCTTCTCCTCCTCCTCCTCCGTCCTCATCTTGCTCCTCCTCCTCCTCCTCCTCGTCCTCCTCCTCCTCCTGGTCCTCCTCCTCCTCCGTTGTACTCTTGCTCCTCCTCCTGCTCCTCCTCCTCCTCCTCCTGTTCCTCCTCCTCCTCCTCCTCCTCCTCCTCCTCCTCCTCCTCCTCCTCTTACGCATCCTTTGATGCTGCTGAGGCTGCAGCAGGGGAGGCCCTCCTTTCCGACGCTGAGCTATTTTCGCGACGTCGGCCCTTAGGGATCTTGACCACCTCACCGAGGCAGGCTTTTCATCCAGAGCCATTTTTTGACGGTCCTGGGGCCAGGAACTGTCGGGCACGAAAACGACGAAACACCCGCCGCCGCTTGTTTGTTCAATGCCGGGGTCTTCGGGTGCGTCCAGGAGGGGGGTGAAGACCAGGGGTGTGTGGAAATCATGGCGGGGGCCACGAGATGTTCTCGAATTTCATGGCCCCCCCCCTCTTCTTTCAGCACGTACCCTGTCGCCCACCAATCGCTCGTCCTCGCACATGTCTCGGGCCATGCTTTGCGACCCTCTCTCCAGGGCGTCCTCCTCCTTGCTGATCTTCCTCCTTCTCCTCCTGCTCCTCCTCCTCCTCCTCCTCCTCCTCCTCCTCCTCCTCCTCGTCCTTCTCTTGCTCCTCCTCCTCCTCCTCCTCCTCCTCCTCCTCCTTGTCCTCCTCCTCCTTCTCCTCCTCCTCCTCCTCCTTCTTCCTCTTCCTCTGGCCATGATTTGCGACCCCCTCTCCTGGACGCCGCCCCCCCTGGATGCCCCCGGGATCTTCTTCTTCCGGAGAGCACCCGGCCATCGCCCGCTCCTCCTTGGTTTGGCTAGTTTGGGTGACCCTTCTTCGCCGTCCTCCGACGTGGTGATGTTGCTCGCAACGTGGAGCCCCGGAAGGTTATTCCTTTGCATCTTCGGGGGGCCTCTCCCGTACTGTAAATGGCCGTCTTCTCTTGAACTCCGACATGGGTTCGACGCGGCTCCGACGTGGATTCGACACGGACTCGACTCTGTCGCCACGGATTCGACTCTCTCTTGACACGGATTCGACGTGGATCGCGGCGCGACGGGACAGGCAAGGTCTCCAGAAGATGCAACACAAGGGTTAGTCTCCTGCATGCAGTCGGCGTTTCACCTTGACTGCTTTTCACGGCTCCAGCGCCCGGTGAGGGCCTCCGGAGGCCGAACACGGGCAACACTTGTCCGTGGTGGTTTGTCCGTGACGCGAGGAGGTATCGCTCACGGCGGTGCGCATTTTTGGGGCTCCTAAGGGCCGATAAATTATGCACCGTACCACTCCTGGGTCGCAGATCGACAACGCCTCGGGAGAGGGCCATCACGGTACGGTTCATACTTGGCGTCCGCGGACAATAGGGACTTCGGGGACGCCCTCGGGGAGGCGCAGTTGTTGGAAAGCATCCTGAAGCTAGGAAACATCCAAGAGCCGACGACAATTTCCGAACGCCTCCGAACCAACGAAACCTGACCCGACCTGCCCGACAGGCCCGCCACGTGGAGTCCTACTACCAGTCCGCCTGGTACTGCTTCACGCTCACCTGTGCGCAGACTTCGGCGTCGGGGCGCTGGTTCATCACCCCGAGGAGGCCCGTCGAGAAGGGCGACGTCGGCATGCCGCGGGCTTATCGCCCCTCGACCTGGCGCAGGCCACCCACACCCTCAGCCCTCAGACCCAGGCGTTGCAGCAAGATTCGCGACGGCTGGTCTTTCGCGGCCAGGGCATTGCTGTTTTCGACAGAACGGCTCCTGATGAGAAGTCGGCCCCAGCCCCTGGTAAGTGGGCGAGATCCTGGGGGCCGACGTCACGAACAGTTTGCAACGCCGGTGGATAGGGCCGGCGCAACTCGACTCCTCGTGGAAGCCGAGAGAAGGTGGAGTGATGATGGCGGGCCCGCCGGGTGATGGTGGTGGAGGCAACAGTGAGACGTCACCGTGTTCGGTTCCAGACCGGGATCTCCGACGATGTGATTTGTTCATTCCCGGCACTTTTTATCGATTTCGGCCTCGAGGGCCCGTTATCGAGCCCTGACGCAAGCAAAAGTGGATTTGGACTGAAAACCTACTCCTGGGGACGACGTCGGGATCTCTGGGACCGCGCCCTGAGAAAAATCACATTGTCTGATGTCTCCAGGGTTTCTGGAATCGTTCAAACGGGGCCGCGTGAATGCCGTCTGAGGATCGCGCCGCATCGCCAGTGCATCAGCGATGCGGCTCGATTTGGAGCCCGACCTTCTCCATCCCAACATCGCCGACGCATCGCCGACGCATCGGCGATGCGGCGCGATACTCCCACCTACTCGGATCTCGCTTGGGCGGCCTCCAGTTGGCCAGTTGAGGCTGACAGCGCGGTTCTCGCGAGAAAGGTCTGGAAGTCTGGACCTCGTTCAACGGGGACTGACAGCATTTTCGCGCAGTGCCGCCCAGCCCAAGACGGCCCCGGACGCCTCCTAGATCGCCCCACGAGGATCCGAGGGAGCCGCAAGGGCGCCCCAATGGTTACGGCCCAAGAGGGCCAGCCTGGACGCCAAGATCTTTGCCTCAAAGGTTGTCCGCTCACACTTTGGGGCGCGGGGTTTCGGAAATTCCTCCGCTCGGCGCGGCCAGCCTGGACACCAAGATCGTTGCCTCAAAGGTTGTCAGTTCACACTTTTCTAGGCCTCCTAGATGGGGTCGGAGTAGATGGGGTCGGAGGATCGCGCCGCATCGCCGATGCATCGCCGATGCGGCTCGATGTAGGGACCGATTTTCTTCAGGTCGACGTCGCCAATGCATCGCCGACGTCGACGATGCATCGCCAGTGCATCGCCGATGCATCGCCGATGCATCGCCGATGAATCGCCGATGTATCGCCGATACGGCGCGATCCTTCGACCCCATCTACTCCGACCCCATCTAGGAGGCCTCTAACTTTGGGGAGCGGGGTTTTCGAATCCCGCCGCTCGGCGCGGCCAGCCTGGACGAGAGCTGGATCTGCATGGGGCATTGCAAACAGGGCCTTGCCTTCGAGGGTTGGAGGCGTTGCCCTCTCCTCTGCGGCGGAGGGGCGGCGGAAGGTCGGCGGAGGTAACACGAGGCCGTCTTCGCTGGCGGAAGCCGGCGGAAGGGCTGGCGGAAGGCGGCGGAAGGCGCGCCCCCAATAGATGAACACGTTTTTTGGGCTCCAGGTTAACGAAGTCCGCCACGCGTGGCCACATGTCTTTCATGGCAGATGTATCCAGCGCGCGGCTTCCAGAGACGCTCCGCCTGTGCGTCCGGCCATGCTTGTGTCTCCGGCTTCCCGGTAGCATATGCGCAGGGAGGAGGGTCGCAAAGAGCGTCCGATCCCAGCAGCCGGTCGGGATGAGGGTTGTCTGGATGGCCTCAGATCCAGGCGTTGCAAGAACGTGTGGCTGCACGGTTATCGGCCTCTGGAGGCCTATCCCATGTCCTTGGGCCGTCAACACGACTCATGATGAAAGCCGGCCCCGGGGAAGTGGTCGAGATCTCCGGGGTCGACGTCACGAACAGGTTGCAACGTCGGAAGGGAGGGTTGGGCTTGCCAAGTCTACGGATCCGCATCGTCATGATGAACGAGCAGGAGACAGCATCGGGGATGTCACCTGCATAGCGGTCCCCTTGGCCGCCGCTTACTGGCAAAAGTTTGCAGCCTTCCCCAGCTTTAGACAGTCTCGCCGCGGGCCCTGATTGAATTTTACGTGGCATCATGCTTAGGCCGTAGCGTCGGCTGATTCCGCACGGCATCCTGAATACTGTTTTATTGGTCTCAGTGTGACGCATCCGCCTCCTCCCCTCCCTCCCTCCTGCCCTGGCCTACACCCTCACGCCCTAATCCCCCCCTCTCCACTCCTTCCCTCCTTTCCGTCATACCCACATCTCTTGTGCACTCGGAGATTCCCACCTCCTCCCCCCCATACCCAGACTCACTTGTAGACCCTGGAGGAGGAGGAGGAGGAGGAGGAGGAGGAGGAGGAGGAGGAGGAGGAGGAGGAGGAGGACGAGAGCCCGGGCTCAGGCCGCTTCCAGACGGAGGCTGCGAGCCAGAGCCAGGCGGCCCTCGGCCGCTATCTTCCTTGCCCCCTCGCCCAGAGCAATGGATCCTCCTTGGCGTGCAGGTCGGCCCCGCCGCACAGCCCGCGCTCGGCGCGAGCAGGCTGCGCGTGCACAGGCCCGGGCCGCACAGACGTTGCTGAAGAGTTTTGCCTCCCTGCACCACAGAGGCTGCCAGGCCACCCGGATTGGTGCAGCACTGGCCGCTGCTTTACGGCCTCTGGTTCCACCTGCTGCCCGTCACGCTGCACCAGCTGCGGAGCCTCCTCCAGTGCCGCCTGCTCCACCACCTCCTCCAGCGCCCATCGAGCCGCCCAAGGACGAGCAGCTGTGCACTCCTGCCGCCATCCGCGAGGAGAGCATTGGTGAGCACTCCACTCTCGGGCGCAGGCGCAGCACGCCTATCCCGAGCCGGGCGCACTCTGCAGGGGGAAGCTCGTGCCATTCCGCAGCGAGTTCTGTCGCCCCTCCAGCCGCGATGGAGCACGAGGTGCCCGCCGCCGCGACAGTTGAGGCGGAGCCACTGCAGGACAGCCAACGGGCTGCCAAAGGAGCAGCGGACGCAGACCAGCAAGGACCCGCGGGGCAGGCACTTCAGACGGGAAATCCTGCTCGCGTGCTGCTGGAAGGTCAGGCAGTGCGCATCGTGGGCATCAAGGGCCGCACGCTCCTCAATGGCACCGAAGGCGTTTTGGGAACGTATGATACTGGCAGCGACCGTTGGGTCTTCAAATCTGGGTCGGAGGCCTTACGCATTCGCCCATGCAACCTAGAGTGCGTCGGCAAGAGCACCAAGCAGGTTCTCAGGCATGCTTTTTACAAGGCAGCGGAACGATTCCAGTACCACAGCAAGTTCATGACGAATGACGTCTTCGACAGGCTTTACGACTTCGCAGCGAGTCAAGGGCAGCCGGGCGTTGGCGTGTTCTTCAGAGATTTGTGCCAGCACGAGCAGATCTTCGACCAGTGACGCGCGCATGGGGCCAAGTACTTCCAGTACTTCCTGAGCCCCTTGCACCAGCTCTGAGGTTAGCGAGTGTGCTGAGTGGGCGTGTTTGCTGGATTCGGCTCGTTTTCCCTCGTCGCCTCGCTGGGCTCGGCTCGTTGCGCTTGGTGTCGGGTGTTCGGGGCTCTTCGTCGCCGTTTATTATGCAATGTCCGCTTCTTTCTCAGCCCTGAGCCCTGGCGGGCCCGTGGCTCCGCCTGATGCCCTGAGCCCTCGCGGGCCCGTGGCGCAGGCTGCCCCTGCTCTGACAAGGTGTCGGGTCCCCGTTCCTGCCTCGGCTGGCTCCCAGGACCGTTCGCGTGCGTTGCTCGCTCTCTGCGCTGTCTCTCTTCGGCCCTGTCCTGCGCCATTTTTCCCTGCTCCTGATGGGTTTCGCCTCGCGCACATAATCCTGACCGCAAGTCCAAAAAAAGGAGGAGGAGGAGGAGGAGGAGGAGGAGGAGGAGGAGGAGGAGGAGGAGGATGAGGAGGGGAGGGGGGCATCCTGGAGGAGGGGGAGGAGGAGGAGGAGCAGGAGGGGGGAGGAGGAGGATGAGGAGGAGGAGGAGGAGGGGTGGCGTCTTTTTGCAGTTGGGGAGAGGGGGGTCCCAGACCTTCCCCGCGCCGCGGCGAGAATCACGAATCGAAAGGTGTCCGGACATCTTCAGCATCCAGGGGGCCTTCTCCCTGGCCCCATGGACAATCAAACAACGACTCACGATGAGATGCCAATCCCTGGCAGGAGGAGGAGGAGGAGGAGGAGGAGGAGGAGGAGGAGGAGGAGGAGGAGGAGAAGGAGGAGGAGGAGGAGGAACACCAGAGTAACATCCACTGACAGATTCAGGCTCACTCAGACCCACTTCCACTCCGACTCACTCATGCCCAGGCTCTCTCGCAGTCAGATCCGCTCACACTCGGACCCGCTCATACTCTGACACTCGGATCAGCACGATCTGATTTACAGTCAGCCCACTGATTGACGCGATTTGTTCAGGTGTTGCACCTTGGCCTTCCAAGGTGGAGCCGCCAGGGGGTATGACACGAGCCCGTTCGCGCCTGGCTGGCTGGGACCTCGAGCAGAATCGCCATGTCCAGAGGTGGTTAAAAGTGCCTCCTTCCAGAGTCCCATGATCACTGCGATGTGGCGGGCGTCGCTCTTGGGCCTCCCAGTGGGGGAGCCCCTCCTCCTCCTCCTCCTCCTCCTCCTCCTCCTCCTCCTACCTCTACCTCCTCCTCCTCCTCGCTCCTCCTCCTCGCTCCTCCTCCTCGCTCCTCCTCCTCGTCCTCCTCCTCCCTCCTCTCTCTCTCCTCCTCCTCCTCCTCCTCCTCCTCCTCTCCTCTCCTCCTCCTTCCTCCTCCTCCTCCTCCTCTCCTCCTCCTCCTCCTCCTCCTCCTCCTCCTCCTCCTCCTCCTCCTCCTCCTCCTCCGTCCTCCATCTCCTCCTCTCCTCTCCTCCTCTCTCCTCCTCTCCTCCTCCTCCTCCTCCTCCTCTCTCCTCCTCCTCCTCCTCCTCCTCGTCCTCGTCCCTCGTCGCTCACTCCTCCTCCTCCTCCTCCTCCTCCTCCTCCTCCTCCTCCTCCTCCTCCTCCTCCTCCTCCTCCTCCTCCTCCTCCTCCTCCTCCTCCTCCTCTGCTGGCCAGCCCGGGCCAGGAGCTCCGGGACATCGCCTCCGGAGCCGTGGAGCCGCCCTCCTTCGGCTTCTTCAACGGCCGCCACGAGGGCCGCTGGCAGCTCTGCAGCCGCCTCGCGGAGCTGTTCCACCGGCAGGCGGCCGCCGCCGCGGGCCGCCGCCGCAACCTGCACGGTTTCCCCCGGGGCCGTAGGCGACAGGTGGAGGAGGAGGAGGAGGAGGAGGAGGGAGGAGGAGGAGGAGGAGGAGGGAGGAGGAGGAGGGAGGAGGGGGAGGAGGAGGAGGAGGAGGAGGAGGAGGAGGAGGAGGAGGAGGAGGAGGGGAGGAGGAGGAGGAGGAGGAGGAGGACGAGGAGGAGGAGGAGGAGAAGGAGGAGGAGGGGAGGAGGAGGAGGAGCGGACGAGGAGCGACGAGAGCGACGAGGACGAGGAGGAGAGGAGGAGGAGGGAGGAGGAGGAGGAGGAGAGGAGGAGGAGGGGAGGGGGAGGGGGGGGGAGGAGGAGGAGGAGGAGGAGGAGGAGGAGGAGGAGGAGGAGGAGGAGGAGGAGGAGGAGGAGGAGACAAGGAGGAGGAGGACAAGGAGGAGGAGGAGGACGACGAGGAGGACGAGGAGGAGGACGACGAGGAGGAGGAGGAGGAGGAGGAGGGGAGACGACGAGGACGAGGACGAGGACGAGGAGGAGGAGGAGGTGGAGGAGGAGGAGGCGGACGAGGACGAGACGAGGACGAGGACGAGGATGATGATGATGATGATGATGATGATGATGATGATGATGATGATGATGATGATGATGATGATGCTGATGATGATGATGATGATGATGATGGATGGGATGATGATGGTGGTGATGGTGATGGTGATGATGGTGATGATTGATGATGATGATGATGATGATGATGATGATGATGATGATGATGATGATGATGATGATGATGAGGAGGAGGAGGAGGAGGAGGAGGAGGAGGAGGAGGAGGAGGAGGAGGAGGAGTCCGTAGCCATTTTGGCTCAAGTCCGGAGGCATTGCTCAAGGATTTGTGCAAACTGGCGTGGGGAGTCCGCGGCCCCGCCTGCTTCGGTGCGCAAGGCACCACACATTTTTGATACAGTACTGAGGCTTCCGCCCTCACGACCTTGTGCGAGTCACGGCTCAGGCGCGATGGCAGACTTCAGGCTTTGGGCTTGCTCGCATAAGAAATGTGGGTATCGGTTCAACTACATGTCGAGGGAGGCTTGCCGCGTCTGTGGGCGGGCCAATGGCACCACACCTCAGCCTCCGCGCGGCGAGCGCAAGCTGGGGCAGTGGGTCAACGGGCCGCCTGCGTCCAAGCCAGCCAAGGTGCCAGGGCCGCCTCTCGACGATGGTCAGCTCGAGATCTATGCCAGGATGTCCGCAGCGGACTTTGCCAAGCTCTCCGAGGGGTGGCCCGCCAAGGCGGTCGGGCGTGTGGTGGCGCAGCGGTCACTGCTTCAAGGCGACCCCATGGCGTCGGCAAAGAGTGCGAGAATCGAGCAAGACAGGCTTCATGATCAGCTGGCGAGGGCTCAGCGCAAGTATCACAAGGCCAACGAAGCCGCCATGGCAGCTGTTGCCGCGGCGGCTAAGGCCAAATCCGAGTTTGACATGTTGGACAAGCAGTGCAAGGAGGCGGCAGCCAAGGCCGCACGTGCCTACTCCAGCATGGCACCAGCGCCTGCCGCCGACCCCGTGGCCGCGCTCCAGTCGCTCGTGCAGGGCCTCAGCTGCGACGAGAGGCTCAAAGGCATTGGCGAGCAGCTCGGCGGCCTCATACCCGCCCTGCAGGCCCTCGTACCCAAGCTTGAGGTCGTGCCCGAGGCAGCGGACGCTCCCATGGGCGATGCTGCTGATGGCGACGGCGCTGCGGACGCTCCTGGAGGCGGTGCCAGCCTCCCGCCCGAGGCTGGGGCCGCAGGCGCTGCCGCCGCAGCCGCCGCTGCTGCCACAGCTGAGGCTGAGGCTCGACATGCTGCCGAACAAGACCGACGTGAGCAACAGCAACATGAACAGTTGCTGGCGTGGCTCGAGAGCCAGAAGCAGCAGGCTGCAGGCGATGCCAACGGCTCCGACGCCCCCTTCTACCAACAGGTGGCCGAGGCTCACGGGGTCAAGCATGAGCTGGTGGCAGGCTTCTTCGATGCTCTGTTGGAAGCTGCAAAAAAGCGACCTCGTCTTTGATGCAGCCAGCAGAGCCTCTCAATGTGAATCGTTTTCTATTGTGACGTGCAATGTGACAGGTAAAGTTGGCCTCGAGGCGCTACTGAAGCATACCCGCGTGCGGGCTGCGCGAGCTGTGGCGGTTCAGGAGCATCACCTACGAGAGCCTGAATGTGTAGCTTGGGAGTCCAGGCTTAGCAAGATTGGTTGGCGTTCCTCCTGCTGCCCTGCGGTGGACACGCAAAAGGGCGGCACCTCTGGCGGCATCATGCACATGGTTCCTGCCGCTGCTGGGCTCGCCGAGTTCGAGCTGGTGCCGAAGGTTGTCGCGGCAGGCAGGGCCAGGGTCATGCACTGCTCTGGGCTGATACCAGGTGGTTTTGCTCTTGCCACTGTCTACATGCATCACAGTGAAGAGTTAGGCCCTCGAATTTGGAAGATCTTAGAGGATCTTGGTTGTGTCCTCAAGCAGATCGCGATGCCCTTCGTCTTGTGCGGTGACTTTCAGCTGCTGCCTGACACGCTGGTGGGTTCTGAATGGACAGAGGGCATGGACGCCGTATGCGTTGCACCGAGCTGCGCCACTTGCACGAACAGTTCGGCTAGCGCTGGTCGTTGTATTGACTACTTCGTGATGTCACGGTCCCTTCATCATGGGGCCAAGGCCGAGGTGCTGTTTGACGTGGGCACGTCGCCGCACTTCCCTGTGGTGCTTACTCTGCGGCCGCGCACCGTGGCCGAGATGGCGCACCTGGTGGCCAGGGTGCCTAAGCGGCTGCCGCAGGATGTACCCATGGGCTGCCGCGCGCTGGACCCAAGCGATCTTTGGCAGCAGTGCTGTCTGCGACGCAATGGGCTACCTCTCGATGCCGCCTGGCGGCTATGGCTGGACTTCGCGGAGCGCGACTGGGCAGACGTCTACGGCCTCGACCTCGAGACTGACAGCGAGTACTTCGGCAGGTCTGAGGGCCCGCGCTTTCAAGTTTGCAAGCCTAAAGCCCCTAGGGACCTTGCCTTTCCCCGTCTGTCTCCAGGGGCTCTTTGGCGGCGTCTCCTCGCCCGATGTTTGGATGGCCTTGGGGTCTGGCAACCTGGGGCCCTTCGTTCTGGAACGCTGAAGTTGGCCCGAAGCTTGCCCGGCTTGGCCAGGAAGGCCAAGGTTGAAGCAGACAAGTCTCAACCCTGGCTGCACCTGCTGGAGTATGCACGTGAGCTGACATATCATCTTGCTTCTGCGCTCGCCAAGCTAGCGCACAAGCAAGCAGCTTTAGAGCATCGTATGGCCGAGAAGGCCAAGAATCAGAATTGGAAGGAGTGGGTGCAAGCGCACTCACTTAATGGAGGAGCTGCCCTGCACGCATGTAGCAAGCCAGCCACCCCCTGGCACGCCAGCAGCATGTCCCCCTCAGGAGCGCCTGCCACCTTACAGGAGGAGGTTTCGCTTTTGGAGGAGGAGTGGGCTGGGTGGTGGAAGGTGGGCGCCCTCGAGGATGAGATTTGTTGGCCAGATTTAGGGCCAGAGTTTCCCAGGCCCTCCCTGGACGATTTAAAGAGATGCCTGAAGTCCTTTCCCAAGCGGTCAGGGTGTGGCTTCGACCAGATCAGCCCCAGACAGTTGCTCGTGCTCTCGGACCAGGCCCTTGGTGCCTTCCTGGACGTGTTGGCTGTTGTTGAAAGCTCGAGCTCGTGGCCCACCATCTGGACCAAGGTTGTTTTTCTTGCCAAACGTGATGGGGGGCTGCGCCCCATAGCCCTTATCCATATCTTGGCGCGAGTGCAGGGTAGGCTGCGGAAGTCATTAGTGTCCCAGTGGCAGGCTGCGCACGCGCGCCCATATTGGTGGGCCACCTCAGGCCGCAGCAGCGACAAGCTGGTCTGGGTGCAAGCCGCCTCGTCTGAATGGGCGCTTTCCCGTGACATGTCCAGTGCTTTGGTGCTGTTGGACCTTCAGAAGGCCTTCGAGCACATTAGACACAGTGAGTTGGTAAGAGCTGCGTCGGAGTCGGGCTTTCCACTCCGCCAGCTGAAGCTCCTCGTTGAGCTCTACCGCCTTCCGCGGGTTTTAAGTTTGGACAATGCTGTGTCCGAACCTGTGTGCACTCTGCAGGCTGTGCTGCCTGGCTGTCACTTTGCCACGCTTATGTTGCAGATGATTCTCCTTGGCCCTGTCGACAGGGTCGTGGATCGCTATAGACTGGTGCGACTGGGTGTCGTTGTGGACGACTTCGGTTTGCATCATGTAGGTCGAGATTGTGATGTCATTGCCGATCTTTCGGGTGCCACGTGCTTGCTGCATCAGGGGCTCGAGGCCGTTCATCTTCCTGTCGCCCGTCGTAAGTCGAAGGTCGCGGGGTCGTCGCATCTGGTTCGTGTCTCCCTGGTGCGCAGGCTGGCCCGCTATAAGGTCAAAGGAGTGAGCCATGAACGTAATCTGGGGATTGATTTTGCTGCTGCGCGTGTTATGTCTCAAGCTACGCGTCGCGAGCGCAGGAGTCCAGCGCGTGCTCGGGCTCGCAAGCTTGTGAGCGTTGGTAAGCGCATTGCTAAGCGCAGGGTTCACCACATGATTCAGTCCGCTGTCATGGCCTCCGTCAAGTATGGGGGCAGCGTGCACGGCACGAATTCTACTTTGTTGCGCGAGGCTCGGTCTTTGCAGGCGCACGTGCAGAGCAATCGTCTCGCGGGAAAAAGTGTCACTCTGCTTCTGATGCTGTCCGATGAGCCCTCCTGCGATCCTGCTTTTCAGCTGCAGTTGGATCCGCTTCTGGCCTTTGCCACTGCTGTCTGGGATGATCTGCTGCCCAGGCGCGTTTTGGAGCAAGGTCTTCAGGAGGCCTGGCAACTCTTCAGGGACCATGGGAACCCGCGGGCTGCCGTCCGAGGCCCGTTTTCGGCCTGCGTGGCCCACTGCGAAGCGCCTGGGTTTTTCCATGGATGGTTTTTATTGGGATCATCCCAAAGTTGGTGCGATTAGCGTGCGTGAGCAGTCTCCACGCACTGTCCGCACATGGCTTTGTCGGGTGATTCAAGATTGGTTGTGGGCCAAAGTTGCTGAGCGTGAGGGTGTGCCTGAGTTGGCTAACGGATGCAACCTTGACCCCATCCTCTCTCTTTTGCGATCGAAGAAGCTCTCGCCTCAAGAGAAAGGCTACCTTCGATCTGTGATTGCTGGAGGGCAGTGGCCGCAGCACAGGCAATGGGAGTGCGGTATGGTTTCTCAGCCCACGTGCCTGGCCTGTCAGGACGCTCCAGGGACTTTGCTGCACAGACATGGAGCGTGCGGAAGGCACGAGGAGCTGCTTCCCCACGAGGAACCTCCAGAGTTTTTGACTGGGCTGGTGCAAGCATCCACTTCCACCCTCCCTCGCCTCCTTGCCGAGAGGCCCCTCTGCCCTGCTGCTGCTCCCCCTCCCTCCCTCGAGCCTCCTGCCAGGTGGTTTTCGGGCGGGCCCACCGACATGGGGGGGCATGTTTTTCTGGGCGGGTCCTGGATGGACCAGGACCTCCCTGGGCCCTCCCAGGCCCTCGCTTGGGCCCTGGTTGCTGTGCAGCCTGAATATCCGTTCAGGACGCTTTCAGTGTTTTGCGGCACGCTTGTGATGGCCTGTGCCGATATCGACGCTGCCGAGCTCGTGGCGTTGTTGCGAGCCTTGCAGCACTGCGCCCCTGGCACGATCATGTACACTGACAGCGCTTTCGTGCGCGACGGGTTGCATGTGCGCGGGCGCGAGTACTGTTGCAGCAGCCGCAGTGCCTGGGCCGAAGTTTGGGTTCAGATTTGGCTGCAGATCGATGAATGGGGGGGTCTCGAGCATGTGGATGTGCGCAAGGTCAAGGCGCACAGCACGCGTGCTAGCCTCCAGCGAGGTGAGATCTCCCCCTTTGGGTTTGAAGGTAATATGCGTGCAGATGATTGGGCACGATGGCAGGCAGACAGATCGAGAGTACCCCTGCCAGTGCGACAGGCGCATCAGGCCAAGGCTAAGGTTCTCTCTCGTCTTGCTGCATGGGTCGCCAAGATTGGGCCTGTAATGGCCGACCTCGACGCCGTGCATGTCACAGACAAGGAGAGGACGGCGCGGGCGCGTGGTCCCCGCCTGCCGCCCCTTGTCGTGCTGCCGCCACCTGCCGCCGTGCCGCCCGTGCTCTCGCGCGCCGACCTCGCATGCGCGCGAGTGGCGTCGGCGCCAGGCAGGCAGCATGTCATTCATCCGTTCCAGGTGGGCGGGGAGGCTGGGCGGATGTGGTGTGTTGTGTGTGTTGTGTGCGGGTATGGGGGGACTCTGGTCTCGGCCTCGCTCTCCACCTGCTGCGCGGGGCCGCCGCAGCCGAAGTCGTGGGGAGCGAGGGTCTTGTCGAACCTTGGCCGCACACCCGCACGGTTCTCTGTGAACAAGGAGTGGCGCCCTCTGGTGCAGCCACTCCGTTCTGGCCTCCTGATTCGCGCTGGAGAGCCGGGATCCTCTGTCACGTAACTCGTTGGGTTTTTTTGTTTCACCCGAGGGGTGAACGGGAGTGCATGGTGGCGCAAGTGGTAATGGCCCCGCATCAAAGGGGAAGCGCCACCCATTGCATTCAAAGGTGTGCGGCGAGACTTATCGTCGCGCAGGGCTGTGTCGAGGAGGAGGAGGAGGAGGAGGAGGAGGGGGGGCGGAGGAGGAGGAGGAGGAGGAGGACGAGGAGGAGGAGGAGGAGGAGGGCGAGGAAGACGAAAAGGACGAGGAGGAGGGAACGAGGAGGAGGAGGAGGAGGAGGAGGAGGAGGAGGAGAGGAGGAGGGGGAGGGGGAGGAGGAGGAGGAGGAGGAGGAGGAGGAGGAGGAGGAATAATAATAATATGAAGAAGAAAACGAAGAAGAAGACACATAATAAGCCGAATAACACAAATACTAAGAAGAATGATAATAACAAGAGTATTCAAAAATAGAAGAAGAAGACGAATTCGAATAATAATAACAAGAACAAGAATAATACTACAAATATTAATACTACGAAGAAGAAAATATCAACAATGTTAGTAATACTATTAATAATATTAGTATTAGTTTTATTAATAATAATAATAATGATGAAATAATAATAATGACAATAATAATGCTACTAATAACAACAATACTAATACGAATAATAATAATAATAATAATAATAATAATAATCATACTATTAATAATAATAATAATAACAATAATAATACTAATAACAATAATAATAATAATAGTAATAGTAATAGTAATAGTAATACTAATCATAATAATACTAATAATAATAATAATAATAACAATAATAAGAATAATAATCATAATACTAATAATATTATGAGGAGGAGGAGGCGGAGGAGGAGGAGGAGGACCGGGAGGAGGAGGCGGAGGAGGAGGAGGAGAAGGAGGACGACGAGGACGAGGACGAGGAGGAGGAGGAGGACGAGGAGGAGGACGAGGAGGAGGACGAGGACGAGGACGAGGACGAGGAGGAGGTGGATGAGGAGGAGGAGGAGGAGGAGGAGGAGGAGGAGGAGGAGGAGGAGGAGGAGGAGGAGGAGGAGGAGGAGGAGGAGAGGAGGAGGAGGAGGAGGAGGAGGAGGAGGAGGAGGAGGAGGAGGAGGAGGGAGGAGGAGGAGGAGGGAGGAGGGAGGAGGAGGAGGAGGAGGAGGAGGAGGAGGGGAGGAGGAGGAGGAGGAGGAGGAGAGGAGGAGGAGGAGGAGGAGGATGAGGAGGAGGAGGAGGAGGAGGAGGAGGAGGAGGAGGAGGGGGAGGGGGAGGAGGAGGGAGGAGAGGAGGAGGAGGAGGGAGGAGGAGGAGGAGGAGGAGGAGGGAGGAGGGGAGGAGGGAGGAGGGAGGAGGGAGAGGGAGGAGGGAGGAGGGAGGAGGGAGGGAGGGAGGAGGGAGGGGAGGAGGAGGAGGAGGAGGGAGGAGGGGAGGAGGAAGGAGGAGGGGGAGGGAGGAGGGAGGAGAGAGGAGGAGAAGGGAGGAGGGAGGATGGAGGGGGAGGAGGAGGAGGAGGAGGAGGAGGAGGAGGAGGAGGAGGAGGACGACGAGGAGGACGACGAGGAGGACGACGAGGAGGAGGAGGAGGAGGAGGGAGGAGGAGGAGGAGGACGAGTAGGACGAGGAGGAGGAGGAGGAGGAGGAGGAGGAGGAGGAGGGAGGAGGAGGAGCGAGGAGGAGGAGGAGGAGGAGGAGGAGGAGGAGGAGGAGGAGGAGGAGGAGTAGAAGGAGAAGGAGGAGGAGGAGGAGGAGGAGGAGGAGGAGGAGGAGGAGGAGGAGCGGAGAGATCGAAGGATGGAGAGGAGGAGGAGGAGAAGGAGGAGAAAGAGGAGGAGGAGGAGGAGTAGAAGGAGAAGGAGGAGGAGGAGGAGGAGGAGGAGGAGGAGGAGGAGGAGGAGGAGGAGCCGGGGCTGTCAGAGATCGATCCAGGATGAAAGACTCGCCTCCTTTCGGCGACTGCAAAGGGCGTGGTTGCGCCAGGGTGTGGTTTGCGATCGGCGCCGCTGGGGCCGGGGGGCACGGCACTGTCCTCGTCGGGCCTCCTCGGGGCGCGGCGGAGAACTCGATCGAGGTCCCCGCCCGCCGCCCAGGGTGTCCCCCAGGGTGCCGGTTGTAAACCACACCTTTTGCAATCTACACCCTTCGGAGTCGCCGACTATTTGAAACCTGCGAGGAATTCGGGAACCAACTTCGAGCGGACGTTATCGGATAGCGAAGCAGTGCAGTCAGCCCGCAGAGCAAAGATGATCGGCTTTCCCAGGTTACCCTTGCATCCTTCCCCTTCGGCCCATCCTTGGCCGCTTTCGCTGGCCGCGCCCCGCTCGCAAAGCGTCGGCATCGCCTTCCAAGGCCCTTGCATCCTTTTCGAGCGTCCGTATTGGCTGCAAGTACGCCTACATTCTGGGAGGTCCGCGCGGATCTCTTGGGTCGGCCCTGGGAACGGCAGGTTCGCGTCGTGTCGACCGACGGCGACCCCGCCGCGGGCGTTCGAGTCGACTAGACGTAAGAGTGACCTTTCGCAGGAGTGACCTTTGGTGCGGGCCCAGTGGGGCCCCCCGATCGCCGAACGCGATGCGATTTTTAGCGCCTTGCGCGCCTGTGTTCGGTCCCCCCGCGGCCCCCCAAAAGAGCCGCGCACCAAAGGCCACTCCTACCCAGGGTCACTCCTGCGTGTAGCCGATCAAGGTGGAACGCCGCCAGGTGGCCCAGAATCGGCCCAATATGGAACGATCGCTCGATCGAAAGGCCGCCGATCTCGTTCAAGGCTGGACGAGCCACGCGGTGTCAGAAACCAGCGCTGAGGGCCAGGGCCGAGGCCGGGGCCGAGGCTGGGGCCACGGCCAGGGCAGGGGCCGGGGCCGGGGCCGGGGCCAGGGTCGGGGACGGGGCTGGTCTCGGGGCCCTCTTGGGGCCCTCTTGGAGCCCTCTCTGGGCCCTCTTGGGGGCCCTGCAGGGCCTTGGGGCAATCCTGGAGGCTATCGATCAAAGGAGGGGTGTCCTCGATGCGCTTTGCCCTCCCTGGGGCCATCCAAATCGCTGTTTCCGCCCTCCTTCTGTGGATTTCCGCCCCACGTTATGTTGGGTGCAGAAATTTCCGCCCTCTTGTTTCGGCTTCTTATAAGTGGACTTCCGACGCAATTTTAAGTTGGAAAAAAAGCCAAAGTAGGGCGGATCTGGAGTCAGGGTGGGGGGTCGTCACGACACGAACCCGCCGTCAAGACATCCGACGGCGTGAGCTTTGTCGCCCAACCCGGGGCCCCGGCGGTCCAGGCTCTCTCCCTGGGCCAGCTGCCCGGCCCCGGGAGCCACTCGAGAGGTGGCCCCGCGGGGGCACTGGCAGGGCCCCTGGAGGCCGGAGGAAGAGGCGATCGTTTTCTTATTCATTGTTTTGCCGATCGGCGCGGGCCCTCGCAAACGTGGATTCAGGGGTCGCGGATTAGCGACTGGGCCTGTTTCCATGGGACATCGCGGATTTCCGCCGCCGACCGAGGCGGCAAAGGGCGCATTTTGGGGAGGGCACCTCCCCCGATCCATGGATTTGGCGACCGCGCGTCAAATCCGTGGATCGCTAATCCATGTTTGCGCGCCCCCGATATTCATTGTTTTGCCGATCGGCGCGGGCCCTCGCACCCACCTCCCCCCCCTCATGGAGTGGATCTTGGCTGTTTTGGGCGCCTGTTTCGAGCAGGTGGAGTCTCCCCCACAGGACGCACGGCTCCAAACCGTCGCATTAAGCAGAGGTCTGGAGCCAGACCCGCCCCCCTCCCCCCCGCTTCCGCCCAATGTCGAGGCGCCGAACAAGAAAACGCTCACAATCCAAGACGCCGCGATTGAAAAAGCACATCGTCGGATGGCTGAGTCTTCTGTGTCGGCGCTGGGGCCACCCGTTTCGGCCCAGGCCATCCTGAGCCCAAGGCGCCCATCCCGGGCCCCCACCTCCCGCGTTGCAGCTTTTCCGTGACGTCGGCCCCCCAGGGGACCCCCTCGATCCCCGATCCTCGGGAGCCTCGGTCCCCCGCGACCCCCGAGCCTCGATCCCCGATCCCCGCGAGCCTCAGTCCTGGAACCTCGGCAACGGCAACGAAGACGACGACGGCGGCCGACGACGACTGCCGCCGACGACGACGACGACGACGACAGCGACGACGACGACGACGACGACGACGACGACGACGACGACGACGACGACGGCGACGACGACGGCGACGACGACGACGACGGCGACGACGACGACGGCGACGACGGTGGCGACGGCTGCTCTGAACTTCGACCCCCTACGATGGCGGCGGCTGCGTCGGCGGCGGGCAGCGGGCGGTGGTGCCGACGGCGTTTATACCACCACGGCGACGACCACCACCGCCGCGAAGGCGACGCCGACGGTGACGACGGCCCCCGATCCCCGCAGGCTTCGGCTTTTGTCACTCGAGGACGGAGGCTCGCTCGGCGTCGTCGGCTCTCGTCGCCGACTCGTCGTCTCTAGTGCTCCTCGCCCTCGTCCTCGTCCTCGTTGCCGATTCGTCGTCTCTCGTGTTCCTCGCCCTCGTCCTCGTCCTCGTCGTCCTCGTCGTCCTCGTCGTCCTCGTCGTCCTCGTCGTCCTCGTCGAGTGCCCGCGGCCGCAGCCACCCGTAGCGGCGGCGCCGCCAGCAGGGGCAGCATGGCTCGGGGTCGGGGCAGTGTCCGTCAGTCTCGTTCGCCGGCGAACGACGACGAGCGGCCCTGCTGGCAGCGCTTCGGGCCGCGCCTTCTCTCCGTTTCGGCGAGGGCCTCCAGCCGGGGGCGGCCGAGAGGGGGGTGACGACTTTGGGGGGGAGGGGAATACCATGGCGGTGGCCAGTCGACATTTCCCCAGATTTCAGGGCGCCTCTTCTTACTTCAGTGCGTCCCTGGCCCCCCCCCCCCCCGGGCAGCGCACATGCCGCCGGCCATGATTTGCGCCCCCTCCCTCTTGGACGACACCCTCCTCTTGGCCGCCCACGCTCCAGCCCAGACCCCTCTGAGGCGAGCACGCCTCCGAGCTGCTGCCGCCGCCGCCGACCGCCCTCGATGCTCGAGCCTCGGGTGCCCCCCGGAGGTGAGCGCCGTGACCGGCAGCGAGGACGTGCACGCCGACTGGGGCCCGAACCTGTGCGGCCGCATCTCGCGGCACAGGCCGCCGCCTTCGGCGGCCCGCGGCTGCCCTCGGCGGTCCTCGGCTGCCCTGGGTGGCCCTCGGCGGCCCTCGGCGGCCTCTGCGGCCCTCGGATGCCCTGGGCGGCCTCGGGCCGCCCTCGGCCATCGGCGGGTCCTTCGCTCCAAGACGGGATTTTTTATCCTTCACCGCAGCCTGGGGGATCGATCTTCGGGGACCTCGGCAGGCGGTGGTTATGGATAAATCCCGCCTCGCGTCCATGACTGCTCGAAGGTCTTCGCCGTCGCCATCGTCGTCGCCGACGTACTCCCGTCGTCGTCGCCGTCGTCGTCGTCGTCGTCGTCGCCGTCGTCGTCGTCGTCGTCGTTGTCGTCGTTGTCGTTGTGGCCGTCGTCGTTGTCGCCGTGGTCGTGCCGTCGTCGTTGCCGTCGCCGCCGCCGCCGTCGTCGTCATCGTCATTGTCGTCGTCGTCGTCGTCGTCGCCGCCGTCGTCGTTGTCGTCGTTGTCGCCGCCGAGACCGAGGTTCTCGAGGATCGGGCATCGAGGCTCGGGGGTCGCGGGAGACCGTGGCTCGCGAGGATCGGGGATCGATGTCTTTGGGCTTGTTTCTGGCCTCTCGGGCTTCCCGGGGACCTCCGAAGGCTCCCGCGGGAACTCCCGGAGACATCCTGGAGGCGCCTCCGGAACCGCGGGTCGTCGTCGACGTGGTCGGTATCATGGTCGTCTTCCTCCATCTCCCCTCGGATCCAGGCGTTGCACGAATATTAGCCTGGCGAAGGACCCGACCCGATGCAGCTGCAAGTAGCGCAGTGCGCGGCCCTCTCCTCACGAATGGGGTGGAGCTGGGGGCGGCACGGAGAGTTCTGCATGGGGCCGAGATCCTCAAGAGGGGTGCGCCGAACTGGACCCCAAAGGGGTCCGTGGGCGGAGCTCCAGATGACACGATCCTCGCGAACTGTGCGTCGAAGCGGGCGGTGGGGCAGGCCGCACGTGCACACGCCCCATTGGGTTCACAGGTGAGGGACAGGAACTCCACTGGGTCGTGAACCAACCAGAATTGCAAGCGCTGCGCCTTGCGGCGGGCTTCCGCTTCTCCCGTGCGAACTAGCATGAGCCCATGGATCTTGTCATCCTCGCGAATATAGCCGAAGCGCATTGCATTACTGGCGTGTACCAGTCGCGGCGGGTTTCAAGGCGACGCGAAGCGGGCTGGTAAACTCTTGCGTGTGTGTGTATATATATATATATATATATATATACCCAGGTTACGGGTTACGGGGTCCCTGCCGTTGCGACCTGGAGGGGTTTTCTGGCCTTCGTGGCACCGTGGTTTAGCCCCACCTGTGTGGCCCAGAGGGGGGCGGCCTTCGTTGTACCGTGGTTTAGCCCCAGATATCTGGCCCAGAGGGGGGAGCGGCCTTCGTTGCACCGCGGTTTAGCCCGCAAGCGTCCTCTCCGTGACCCGCTGTGGCTTGGAGGATTGGCTTTCGTGGTTGGCCGTTCTGGCCCGCAAGGGGGGCCGGCCTTCGATGCACCGTGGTGTAGCCCCCCAGATTGGGGGCCTCGGAATTAGTATCCCATGCCCTTGTAGGCGGCCCAAGATGTCTCCAAGACGGCCCCAGATGTCCTGAAAACGGCCCGTGTGGTTTCAAATTCGCCCAAGAAGGCTCCAAGATTGCCCCGTAGGCTTCGCGACGCCCGAAGATCGGTCCAGACCCCCAAGATCGCACCAACAAGGCCCAAAAGGGCCTCGCGATGGTCCGCAGCTCGCCCAAAGATTGCCCAAGAAAGGCCCAAAGCAGCCAAGAAAGGCCACAGGACGGCCCAAGAGGGCGCCAAGGAGGATCCAAGATGGCCCCAAGAGCCCTCCAGACGGACGCGAAGGACCCTGGACGGCCCAGGGGGGCCCCAAGCCAGGCCAAGACCACCTGGACGACCCGACAGCCTCCCGAGAGAACCCCGAGACGGGCCCCATATGGGGATTTCGATGGGGCGCCGGGAACCCAGCTCCCGAAGAGAGCCCCGAAGATCCTCAACCCAATAGTATGTCCCCAAGAGGCCCCCAAGAGCCCCCCTAGCAGACCATAGGGAGCCCCAAGAGACGCTCCCCAAAAGCCCCAAGCCGGCCCATGAGGACCCCAGTGGCGCATGGCAACCCAAGTGGCCCCCAAGAGAGCCCAAGAGGGCCCAGTGTCACCCCTGCCGGAAAGGATTAACCTTGACGGTTCATCGAGGGCTCCCAAGAAACCCAGATATGGCTTCAGGCTGGTCCAAGCGGATCAGGGCGAGAGAGACAACGATGTCATAATGAATGCGACGACGAGGTTTGTGATGGCCACTGGAGAGAGAGAGAGAGAGAGGAAAAAACAAGAGAGAGGAGGAAGAGGAGGAGGAGGAGGAGGAGGAGGAGGAGGAGGAGGATCATGAAGATGGGTGAGGAGGAGGAGGATACTCATGAGACGGAGGTGGAGGAGTGACGATGGGGACGAGGACGACAGCAAGAGAGAGAGAGAGAGAGAAAGAAAGAAAGACAGGAGGAGGCGGATAACGGCGAGGCGGAGTTGGGTTCAGGGTGGCACGCGACGGCCCAAGCGCACAAACGCACCAGCACACGCCGCTCCCCCTTGCCCCCCCCCCTCCGGGCCTCCTGGGCTTCTCCCTGGCCGCTGAAAACAGCTCCCGAGGGAATGAATGAGTGATCAGAGCAGCCCAACAAGGCCAAAGGTTTCGAGCGCGGCTCGTCAACTTTGACGCGCAATGTGAAACGCATGCCTAATATTGCGCACGTGTTTCCATGACGTGGTCGTGGAGGGTTGGTACCGGGATCCTTCCGATGATTTGCATGACGCTGGCTCGGCCCCGGCTGGAACCTCAGCGCGCGCGAAGCGTGCGCGTGGTTCTGGTGTATATATATATGTATATATATATATAGAGAGAGAGAGAGAGAGAGAGATCATACACACACACACACACACCGGAAATCCGGCCCTGGAGGCCTTGGGGTCGCAGCACACCAGGGGCACCCAGGGTGCACTAAGTGCCCCCGCCCCTCCCGTGGCGTTCCCGGCGCCCCCCAAGCGGCCCTCCGATCGCCCCCGGCGCCAAGGTGGCCCCTGGAGCATCCTGGCGCTTCCCAAGAGGCCCCCAGAGTCCCCAAGAACCAATCAAGAGGCCCCCAAGAGGCCCCCAATAGACGCCCAAGTGGTCCTCACGAGTCCCCCGAGCGGCCCCCGTAGAGACTGCAAGATACTTCTTGCACACCTCAAATCGAAGACGCCTCGATTCCAAATGGTATACAAGCACTCTCCCCCATCACTCCTCCTCCTCCCCCTCCTTCTCCTCCTCCTCCTCCTCCTCCCCTTCCTCCTCCTCTCTCTCCTCCTCCTCCCACTCCTCCTCCTCCTCCTCCTCCTCCTCCTCCTCCGCCTCCTCCTCCTCATCATCTTCTCTCATTCTTACGTGTCCCACCCCTCAACATCTTATTCTCTATCACTTCGCATCCTCTTTCTCTCTCATGCGCCCTCCTCCTTCATGTCCATCTTGCCTGCGCCTTCTCCCGCATCCAAGCCTATTCCATATTCGTCGTTTGTAGCTTCCTCCGTTCCCTCCTCTCTCCCGCTTCCTCTTTCTCTTGACTCCTGCTCCCTACCTCGCACATTTGCTCTTCTGCCCCTCCAATCTCCTCCCAACGTCGGTGATCCCCCATTCATCCCTCCTTCTTTCGCCCTGCCCCTCCCCGTCCCTCTCCTTTTCATTTTGCATCCCTCTGTCCTCCCTCTACCCTCCTCCTCCTCCTCCTCCTCCTCCTCCTCCTCCTCCTCCTCCTCCTCCTCCTCCTCCAGCAACAACTCTAGTTTACGTCCGCCTGCTCCCTCCACCGTGCCTCTTCCCCATTCCCTCCTCCGTATTCAGCTTCCGCCTCTTCTCGCCTCACTCTACTCTGCTCGTCCTGCCACCTCCCTCCTCTATCCTCTATCCTGCCTCCGGGCATCGCCGTCGTCCAGTCGTCGACCAGAAGGCCGACCCCCCGGCGGCCCCAGGCCGCGTGCACGCATGGGACGCCCAGGGTCCCCCAAGCGGCGCCTCCCCTTCTGGGGGCCTCTCCAGAGCCTTCCCCGAGTTCCCCCAGGAGGCTCTCGGAGCTGTGTGCAGAAGTGCCACGAGGGCCCCACCCCGACGGTTCCGGGAGCCCCCCAGGGCTGCCCCAGGAAGTCTCCAGCAGCACCATGGGCCCCAAGAAGCCGCCAGAGTGCCCACAGGATTTCCAAGAGGTCCAAACCAGTCAAAAACGAACAGGAATACCAACGTGTTTCCCCCGTTGTCCTGGAGTTCCCGTTTGTTGCCAACACGTAGCTCTAAGATGGCCTTGGAGGCCCAGCTGGTCCCGACGAGAGTTGCAATATTGCCCAAGGATGGCCCAGGACTGCCGCGAATACGCAGCCTCAAAGCGACTTCAGGCATCAAGGCGTGCATTTCCAAGACAAGGACCCGACCATACGGACACGGCCATTCCCTCTGACGCGCTATACGCTTGGCCCAATGGCACGTAGAACTGGGGCGCGCGCGAAGCGCGCTACAGTCCTAGTGTCTGTATGTATGTATATATATATATATATATATATATGTATATATATATATATATATATGTATGTATATATACACACATATGTCGGCGGTGCCCGGTGCGGAGCGATCCCCCCTCGGTAAACTCCATCCTGGGGGGGTTCGGGCCGGCGGCACCGCCATTGCGAGCCGGCACGAAATCCCCCGGTAAGCACGAAACCCCCCGGTAGCCAGCACGAACCCCCCCGGTAAGCACGAACCCTCCCCGGTATGCACGAACCCCCCCGGTATGCACGAACCCCCCCGTGACCGCCCCCAGGACGTGCCGCAACAGGGCGGCACCGCTTTTCTGTACGCGGCCGTTCCGTCGACCCCTCCCAGGAGGCTCGGAACGTCGTCCGGGGCAGATGGCCCACCCGGGAGTTGCAGCTGCCTCCTCTTGCCACGTGCCCAGCAATGTCGACAACAGTGCTGCCGGTTCCTCCTCCCCCTCCTCTCCTCCTCCTCGTCCTCGTCCTCCTCCTCCTCCTCCTCCTCCTCCTC